GACCACTATCCCATAGATTAATCCTTATTACTAAGAAATATCTGGCATCTAATATATAAGGCGTCTAGATGAGTCTTAAGGCAAGACGAGATTGAATCTTCATCCCCTTATAGTTATAGATCGGTGATGTTAGCTGAATAAAAACTTAAATATACTCCAAGTTTAGAGCTTTTCAAAAAATTAGTATTCTCTGATTTCCAATGATTGTTTAGCCAAAGTCAATCTGCAGTACAATTTATCATCAAGCTGTAGAATCGCACTAATAATATATGATTTTTATAGTAGCATAAATTTTGAATATGATCATTAAGACACACGAAACAATCTTATCAAGATTCTATCAGGTACCATTAACTTAATAAAAACGAATAATATAAAATACTTTGCCTTATCGTTTTTTGCAGGGAGCTGGATATTCGGCATGTCGTCAAGTCATTTAAATATGTCCGAAAGCCATATGAACTAAAATTTGCACCATCTTATCGTAGTACGCATTTAAATAGTTTTAAAAAATGCTGTTTATCTAAAAACTTATTATTAATCTTGTTCGTGGCACTGTAGAAAATACATCTATATAGTGCATGTGACTCTTCGGCTCGGCAACAAATAGTCTGTTCTATTATTAGGATAGAAGTGATGTAACGGAAATGCAAAACATGTAAATTATGTAGATGTTCCGAGGCCAGTTGTATGCAAGATTTAAAATAAAAATTATTGGTTCTTTTTCTGTTTATTCAAAGAGAATCACACAGCCAGTTAAACTGTGAATAGTTGCTTCGACATATATCTGCTCTTTAGAACATTGCCTCATAATGACCATGAGTGTCACAAATATTGTAAGGATTAAGTGAAATAGCTTATAAAATTAACTATAGTTATGCAAAGGATCACCAAAGAAAATGACCTGCACAAAGATGAGCTACAGAATCTGGAAATCATCTGATTTTAAGATAGATAATCCAGTTGTAAACCTTGGAAAATATACAAATCATCTAAAGCTTTATGAAATAAATTTTCATTAATTCTTATAGTGAAAGTTTTCTGATTTAATATGCATGTTCGTTAGCTTATGTGTGATCTAAAAAGTTCAAGGTCATTTAAATTATCACTCACGGTTCTTACTATCGTCAATTTCGTGTATATTTGTCCCGCTTCTACCATGAAATTATTTCAACAAAAATGATTGAAATCTACTTTTGAAAAAGCAGCAGAAATCACTAACCAAAATCATATACTGATAGTCACATAAGCTAACTATACTAATCGGCCAGATCAATTTCAAGATTAGGCCAAGATTTTTGATTAAAAAAAAGGCAACCAAGCAAATTACGCGTCTTTCTGTTGTGTTTAGGACTACACATTTTATCAACATATTTCAGTATACTGTGTTTAACTTGTTTCTTAGTTGAAATATCACATCATATACATTTCAACAAGCTTTTTAGATTTTAACAGTTACGAGATCGCGTCACGCTAAACGATATGTTGCCAGGATGATTAAAAATATCAACATATCATTGTCTGAACTTTGGCTCAAGTAAACCATTTCCTGTTCGAATTGTTTTTGACATATCAGATATTCATAAACCGTTGAATATTCAGCATGTCACTAAGTCTTTTAAATGCTATACCTGAATGCATTTGAAACATCGTGTTTACAAAGTTTTGAAGAGTTAACCTATATTTAAGTCCCATAACCTTAATTACACGAAATCAAAAAGCGTCGTTAACTGTCTTTTTTCCATGACTATTATTTTTATTCAAAGAGAATGTGTCATATTGAGATCCCATATTGGTGTATTTGAGTATTTTGAAGACTATTATTTAACAAATAAAATCAGTCTACATTATATATTGTACAGAAGATTATCTTTTAATAATGTAACTGGCTGCTGGGATTTTAAGTGATCATAATTTCTCATATGACTTTATAAATGAGAATCATTATGACTGGTTAGGATATACTGGTGAATATTAGTTCATTAGCTAAAATTTTAAAAGGTGCATACAATTTAATCACATGAAACTTTATTGAAACTTGTCTTCTTTTCATTCATATTTCATTAAAGTTAAAATTAACTTCAGTTGATCATTCGTATTTATACTGCATAACTGCTTAGCTTTATTTGATCACTCTTACATCTTACGATTCACAATTGTACATCTTTTTTTAAAAAAAATATTGTAAGGTACATTTTTAATGCCTTGATTTCTTGGTTTTCTACTCATATTATCGTAAGCATTTATTCAAGCTATGTGAATACGTTAATTCTGGTTACTTTTGTCTAATTTTCAAAAGGCAATGATTAACCGCCTCTTAACCAATTTGATAATAATCATTTAATTTTATTAAACTAATTGATCAAAAAATACACTATTTGTGTTTCACTATATGCAAAACAATTAATTGTCCAATAACAATTATAGTATTTGAGTAAATCTAATGAAGAAGGTAGGAAATGATCAATTTAAATTAATTGTTTATGTGTTTTATGGCTGACGGTAAACTCATTGAAGTCGTATGGAACTATCCTGAGAATAGAATGTAATCATAGTGAAGGCTTATTTAGTTATCAGCACCATCTGATTGACCTTTTTATGTGTATGGATGAGTTAAGTTCACTAATAAACAAGGGAATTAGATAAAAGCTTAACTCAAAAGTCAAAGATAAAAATTTTTTAGTGATTATAGGCGTTACAATGACATGTTGTGAATTAAGGATTTAGTTAGAATTTAAAACTAAGATATAGTAAATTTTTCTTGAATGGGAAATGGAAATCAGTTGATTCAGTTCATAAACAGGAAATATTACACCTGCTTGTTTCTAAAAAGAATATATTTAACTAGGTCACATAAGACAGTTTTATGTTTGTCATAGGTTAAGTTTATCAGATAAAGGTTAGCAGTAAAAATTCAAGAAATACATTTTGAAATATTATACTGTATTTACTAAGTGGAGTATAACGGGATTATTTTCCATAACAGAGGTTCAACTCTCATTTTATTCTCTGAGAAAAATGATTAAGGATTTCTTTTAATTTGTTAAAGCTCCGTTACATGATTTACATGAGCATTAGTATTACCTAAAGAAGTATACTGCTTGGAAACCTACACAATCTGTGTGTATACCGATTATCTTGAGAATACTGTTATCAAACAATACACATAGATTGTAGAAGGAAACCTAACGATTGATCAACTATTAAATCTCAAAATTCTACTGTATTTATGTTAGAATAACATTATTACTACAAATTTATTTGAATTAATAACAATGAGTTACACTGCATATTTCAATGGATAAATGATTAAGAGCAAAATGAGCTTAAATGTAAGTTGAAGATAGGTCTATAGAACGTTTGAGAAGTATATATAGCGTTGGAATTAATTCATACTTCCATTTATTTAGTTTCACTAAAGTTGCTGACACTAAAATGTCATAGTTAATGAGATCAATACCAAAGAAGATAAGTCATTAATGAATTTCCCTAGAAACTGATAGAAACACCAAATAGAATAAATTAACAAACAAATTAAGTAGTCTACAGCTACTTTTTAATTTCTCACGACGTGACTTGAGTCTTAATAAATTATTATTTTTTATCATTCAACCATTACCAAAGTTAATACTAGCCGTGTGAAACCTGAAGTGAAATAAACGAATATGACATAATGGTTTACTTGATAAGTCATTCAAAGACAAAATTTAAGAATTATTAGATTAAACAATTACATGAAGAGGCGGGAGTACCAGGCTGATTTTGGTCATTTCAGATAATAAGAAGGAACGTAATATCATTTTATAGGCACTACAAAGAGATTAACCTAACTAGCAGTAATATCATTAATCCTACAGTTCAGTCAGTCGACTCCTAAGTGAATTATGAGAACGAAAATCCTGAATAGATTTGGGGTATAAACAAGGTTTCATTGACAAGACTTCCATCTTTCATTAAGTTTTAGAGCAGAAACATCTTTAATAATCAACTAATTCGACTGTTTCTCTTGACTACAAGATCACATTTGATTTCTTCCACCAAACAGTTTCGATGTGCCTGACTTTTGAGAGATTATCTATCGAATAAGTTGTATTATCAATATTAAACACTAAGGTTATTTGGAAGTAATACACAGTAATCATTCATACTAAAATTTACCCTCAATGGGGATTAAAAATGAGTTTAAACAGAACAATTACAATAAGGTTTGTAGAACAAATAAATTCATTCTATTTCATAACTTTGCATCAACTACAATCAACCCAAATTTACAAACAGAAATCTAACTATAAACCAAGCTTTAACACACTTTAGTTAGGGAAGTCGAGATGGATAAGTGAAATGCAATCAAAATCATAAAATGAACATAAAACATGATATATGTACTTCTTTTCTTCATATTATGATTTTCGGTCTCGTTTTGAACATTCAACTTAACTTTATTAACTAAATTATGCTAAATCTTAGTCTATAATTGTTTTCCTTATTGTAAGTTTAGGTCATTTGCAGTTGATTCAAATCCAGGAAATCGAATAAACTCATTTCACTTTGAAAACTTAGTTTTTCATGGTCTGTTTAAATTTATGAAGAGATCAAGTTTCGTGAAAAGTAACTTTGTTTACCATTGGGAATTATAAATCTTGGACATACATCTTAAAATCTACCAGGATGGCGTTGATATATTCACATTTTCAAAATAATGGTTACGTACGATCTGTTCATTTTACATTTAACTTAATTCTGTCTAATTTACTTCAGTGTCCTTTCTAATTTTTTTTAAGTTCCTCATGTCTTCCTTATCAGAAAGTGAACTAAATTGAACCGTATTACCTTTGTTAAGACATCAGTTTTACTGTTACGTCTTCTTACTTTTTATCTAAATACTTTGGTCGCTTATCCCTTTAACTAATTAAGTGAAAATCAGGAACATTATCCAAAGACTAGACTAAAATTAACATTGGATTTGCTGTTGAAATAGGTTTGAAATTTATTAGTTCGTTATGCTGGTTAGTATTTGACCATTTATAAAGTATTATTATCAGAATGGGGATTTGTGGAGATTGTAGTAATCTAATGGTTGAATTCATGAGTCGATGTAAGTTAGATCACCATGGAGAACCTGGAAGCACTGAACGTCCGTTTCGTTCTATTATGGGACTCCTCAGCTGTGTGCATCCACAATCCCACACGCGGAACTCGAAGCTAGAACCTTCGGTCTTGTACGCAAACGGTTAACCTAGCTTAGATCGATCCATGAAATTAACCATTTAATTTATTAGTCAGTAATATATTAAGACACGATAAATATCAGTGGAATTTCATTGAATTATATCCATTCAAAATCGTCAACAATTTGATATTTATCAGAAGGGATTTTTGTAGATATTATATTAATTTTAGTAGTTGAGATCATGAGTCAATTGAAGCTAAACCACCATGGAAAACCTGGAAGCACCGATAGGTCCTAGGTTTGAGTCTCACAAGACAGGATCGTGGTTACACATTGTTGAGGAGTCCCATACTAGGACGAAACGGACGTTCAGTGCTTACAGGTTTTTCATGGTAGTCTAGTTTTAATTGACTCATGATCTCAACTATTGAAATTTGATATTTATTTATACTTTTGTTGAAAACAAAATGATTGATCATTCAATTTATATGTTAGTTACATTTCTCAACAATTTCGATAACATATAGTTGATGCCACAAAACAAAATCAATAGTAGTATTTAAAATCTTAGCATAAATTACACACTTAATAGAAAGATTATAAACAGTATTTTAGATCAAACATTAAGTTATTTTTTAAGAAAAAAAGTAATGAGCGAGTAGTAGACAAAAACAGTAATCGATTTTATTTATTCATGTATTGAACTAAATGATTGATTATAAGTTTGATGAAATCTGTTGAAGTCACTAGTAAGATTTTTTGTGTGACTTAGATACATCTGAAATTAGAAGAGACCTAATATTCTATTCTTCATGGTTAACATGTTTAAGATATGAGTTTGAATCCAAAGATGTGTGTATGTACTTCATCTAGATTAGACATATTATACAGGATGAATTAAAAGTTGTTTTTGGTTTTCTGTGGGTATCAGAGAAGAAAATCGGCTAGTGAGTACTTTTCTTTATCGAGAATAATGGTCGGTCACGATCAAAGTTAGCTCATGGATTGAATTCCTTGACTAACAGTACTCAACTATTGACTTTATTATTAAGTAATATGATAATAATCTTATCTAGAGATGTGTCGCACGAAAACATTCAATAAAAGACTGAGAACGCTCAAGAGGTTCATAAGTTAATTATTGCACTAAAAAAGCTACTAGACCTTCATTCATAAATTACTTATCGTCATTCCTATTAAGGATTTGTTTTGTTGTTGGGAGATATGAACTAAATGACCTGAATCAATCTGCCGCATTCAGGTGGTATTCAATGTCCAGGCCTAATAAACCTTGATCAAAAGTTTAATTCTCTTATTATTCAAGATAAATAAATATTTGCATTTTGATTAATTTGACTAGATTACAGAAGTTTCCATCTATTTTATTAAAAGATAAAATTGAATTCCAGAAAATTCTAGAAAGTTTGTTTTTAAATAAAAAGAAAAAAAACAGCCGCCAAACTTATGATAAAGCTCGTTAGCTTAGTGTAAAAATGATAATATTATTCAATCTACTGACTACATATTTTTTGATTGCCTAGAAAACAGTACTGATTATAATTTTAAGCTAAATTTAAAAAAAAATAATAATACCATTTATTCATATAAGAAGTTAATGAATCGTTTACTAATTAAGCAAACAGTAAACCAATTTCCATAGTTGAATAAAAATGACTAACACATTTCAATATTGAAATAAATTCATTCACTTTTCAACTTATCATTATATATATATATATATATATATATAATGATAAGTTTTACAAAGTTGATTTAATCTGAAAACAGTTATATCATTACATTTATTTATACATAACGACCATGTATAAAGATTAAAGTCAATGAATCCTACAAATTGACTAATTTAGCTGTGAATACATTAATTTCAATCAGTGATATTTCTAAAATCTTCACAAAACTCCTGATAATAATCATCTGCTCACTAGTGACTGACTTCAAGAGATACTCATGGAGTTCTAATGAGAAGCCGTTACTAGTGAAGTTCAACCAGGTCTGTTGTGAGACATCAACTCAGTGAAAACAATGGTGTACGGTGGCGCAACTTCGTGGATCGGTTGAAGTTAGACATTAACACCGTTGGATGCTGGCTCAGTGGTCTAGTTGGTTAATCACCTGGCGCGAGACTGATAGGTCCCGGGTTCGAATCTCGCGGGGTGCGGGATCGTAGATGAGTGCTGCTGAGGAGTCCCATGCTAGGACGAAACGGTCATCCAGTGCTTTCAGGTTTTCCATAGCGGTCTAGCTTCATTTGACTCACGATTTCAATCAGTAAAATTTCTAAGATCTCCACAAGACCCCTTCTGTTAATTTTTATACTAATTCATTCATTAAATACAAATAATCTGAACTGGTATTAAATCATCCAGAGGATTATTTATCAGGTCCTTTGTAGGAATCTGTTTCAAGATTTCATGATTTGATATAATTGAATACACTGATGAAGTATATGTAATTTTTGAGTGAATGATGCATTAAGATTACTGAACTTTTGATATAGCACATGCTTTTATTATTTTTTTCTTAACAGTACTCAGTAATTTCCTTCTTGTTTATAGGATATTTTAGTAAACGGATGTTTGCTACGCATGAGAGAGGCTCCACCTACTCAATGTACCGATCATGAATTCTCTGAGCTTAACACAATTAATTCAAATGAGAAGACTATAGGTAATAATCAGAAAGTATCAGATAACACAGTCAGAACTAGTTCTACTACTGTTGATTTTAATAGTAATAAGGGCAAAACTATTATTGGTCACCGTTGTAATTGGCCATCACCATCAGCTTGTTTTTACTGTAAACCATGTAATAAACTTTTATGCGCTGAATGTAGCGGACATTTCTCAATGTCATCTAAAGGTAAAGAACATGAAAATCATGTTGTATTATCATTGGAAAAGGCTGTTCATGATGCTAAACTTGAAATTAATAAGCAAATTGATCGAGTTAAACGGAACAATTCACAATTCGAAGTAAGTTGTTTTTTTCAATAATTCAATTAAAAGTAATAGTTTTTACTTGGTGATTGGTCAAAGAAGAGTGATAAGTAGATCTTAATGCTCAAGTTTTGTTCGTTTTTGTATTGATAACTCAATTATATATAGAGCCTTGAATAAATTCATATCCTTCCTTAGCATTATTAACACATGTTGAAAATCATCATAGTACGAGATATAAATATGGAACTATTCTAATAAGAAAGAATATAGAACGTGAAACCGACAGTTGAGATGACAATCGAGTTATCTCAATTTAATAAACTTGTATCTTTTAATAGTTTGCAAAATGTTAGAGGCATAGTGAGCTGTCGTAATCTTATTGATTGTTTCAGTAAGTATTAAAATGGTATTCGTCATAAAAAATCCAACACTTGCAGTTACATACAACTTACGAGTCCCGAATAGGATGAAATGCACATCCTAGATTCCACTGTTAGTCACCACCCATCTTTGTTTAGTCGATTCTGATGGGAAGAAATACATATTCATTCATTTTGTTTGGCTGAATTATCTGTTTCGTTAACTCATTTAAATAATATTTTGATTTTTGTTAAAATTTAAATTGACAAAAAATTGTATAATACTTTAAATTAAGTAATGTGAAATTTTATCACTGCTTCCTATTGGTTGTAGACTTAATCAGGTTGCATTGTACTAGTTTACATACAGTAAACATTATTCTTCATGCTGAGTAACTACAATGTAAAACAAACCTTTTCCTGTTGTAGTTGTATACAGTATGATAGACATTAGAAGGTATTACAAATTATTACTTACTTACTGACTTACTTACGCCTGTTACTCCTCGTGAAGGAACATAGGCCGCTCACCACCACTATCCATCCAACCCTATCCCGGGAAATCCTTTCCAGCTCCTTCCAGTTGTTATTCATCCTTTTCATATCTGCTTCGATTTCCCGACGTAATGTGTTCTTTGGCCTTCCTCTTTTCCGATTCCCTTCACAATTCCAAGTTAGGGCTTGCCTAGTGATGGAGTTTGATGATTTGCGTAATGTATGTCCTATCCATTTCCATCGTCTTTTCCTAATTTCTTCAGCTGGAAGTTGGTTTGTTCTCTCCCACAGAAGGCTGTTACTGATGGTATCCGGCCAATGAATGTTGAGTATCTTGCGTAGACAGCTATTTATAAATACTTGTACTTTCTTGATTGTGGTTGTTGTAGTTCTCCAAGTTTCAGCTCCATACAGTAGAACTGCCTTGACGTTCGTATTGAAGATTCTGACTTTGATATTGGTTGAAAGTTGTTTCGAGTTCCATATGTTCCCCAATTGTAGGAATGCGGCCCTTGCTTTGCCAATCCTCGCCTTTACGTCTGCATCTGAGCCTCTTTGTTCATCGATGATGCTTCCCAGGTATGTGAAGGATTCTACATCTTAAAGAGTTTCGCCATCAAGGGTGATTGGATTGCTGTTCTCCGCTTTGAATTTGAGGACCTTGGTTTTCCCTTTGTGTATGCTGAGGCCTACTGATGCAGAGACTGCTGCTACACTGGCTGTCTTTATCTGCATTTGTTCGTGTGTATGATATAGGAGGTGTGGGTCATCTGCGAAGTCCAAATCGTCTAATTGATTCTGAGCAGTCCATTGTATTCCGTGTTTTCCTTCAGATGTCGAGGTCTTCATAATCCAGTCGACCACCAGGAGAAAGAGGAAGGGAGAGAGTAAGCAGCCTTGTCTGACTCCGGTCCCTACTTGGAATCCATCTGTCAGCTGTCCTCCATGCACTACTTTGCATTGTAGTCCGTCGTATGAGTTCCGGATAATATTGACAATCTTCTCAGGAACTCCGTAGTGTCGAAGAAGTTTCCATAACGTTCTCCTATCCACACTGTCAAATGCCTTTTCATAATCAATGAAGTTGATGTATAGTGACGAGTTCCACTCAAATGTTTGTTCGACGATAATCCGTAGTGTTGCAATTTGGTCTGTGCACGAACGATCCTTACGGAATCCAGCTTGTTGATCTCGAAGTTGGGCGTCTACTGCATCCTTCATCCGGTTCATCAACACTCTGTTGAAGACCTTCCCTGGTATTGACAGTAGTGTAATGCCTCTGTAGTTCTCACATTTGCTCAGATCTCCTTTCTTTGGAATCTTGACGAGGTGTCCTTCTTTCCAGTCCATTGGCACTTGTTCCTCCTCCTAAATCTTTTTGAATAGAAGGTAAAGCATGTTTGTGGTTACTTCGGTGTCTAACTTCAGTGCTTCAACTGGTATGTTATCGGATCCTGATGCTTTCCCGTTCTTGATTTGTCTGATATCTGACTTCAGTGCTTCAGCTGGTATGTTGTCGGATCCAGATGCTTTCCCGTTCTTGATTTGTCTGATGGCCATTCTGATTTCTTGCGTCGTTGATGGGTTGACGTCTATGGGAAAATCGGTGTGTGCTGCTTTGATGTCTGGTGGATTCGTTGGAGCCGGCCTATTCAGAATATCCTCGAAGTATTCTACCCATCTGTTACGCTGTTGTTGAATTTCAGTGATTGGCTTGCCTTCTTTGTCTTTGACCGGTCTCTCTGGTCTACTGTATTTCCCTACAAGTTTCTTCGTTGTATCGTAAAGCTGTTTCACATTTCCCTATCTTGCAGCTTTTTTCGCCGTCGTTGCTAGTTCTTCCACGTATTTCTCCTTGTCGGCTCTAATGCTCTTCTTCGCTTGTTTGTGTGCTTCTATGTACTCAGATTGTCCTTGGAATTTCTCTGCTCGTGTTCGGTTGTTGTTAATTGCTGCCTTCTTGTTCTTCCTTTCTTTGATCTTGTCCAGTGTTTCTGTAGAGATCCATTCCTTATGATGGTATTTCTTTAAACCCAGAACCTCTTGACACGTTGAAGTTAATGCTTCCTTGATGCCTTCCCAGTTGTCCTCCATAGTAGTTTCTTCTTCTTTCAGTAGATCTTGTAAGGCTTGGAACCTGTTGTTGAGAGCTATCTTGAATTCATTGAGTTTGTCAGTATCTCGAAGGAAGGCCGTATTGAACCTTTGTATTGCTGTTTGTCCACTTGTCCAGTTTTAATTTTAAATTGACCACAACTAGGTGGTGATCTGAAGCTATGTCACTTCCTCTCCTGGTTCTCACATCTTCCATTGTCCTTCGGAATTTTTTGTTGATGCAAATATGATGTATCTGGTTCTCTGTAGTGTGGTCCGGTGAGATCCATGTAGCCTTGTGTATACGTTTGTGTGGAAATATTGTGCCCCCTATGACCAATTTGTTGAATGCACACAAATTTGCAAATCTTTCTCCATTTTCGTTCCTCTCTCCCAGTCCATGTCGTCCCATAATATCTTCATATCCGCTGTTGTCTATTCCGACTTTGGCATTTAGATCTCCCATTAGAATGGTGAGGTCCTTCCTTGGGCATTTCTCTATGATTGACTGCAGCCGCTCGTAGAATTGATCTTTAATGTCGTCGTTGCTATTATTGGTGGGTGCATAACATTGGATAATATTCATTAAGATCCCCTCCTTCTTTGTTTTGAATGATGCTTTGATGATTCTGGATCCTTGAGATTCCCACCTACAAGTGCATTTCGTGCCAATTTGGACAGAATTAGAGCAACTCGCTGAGTGTGTGTAGCGTTTTCCTCTTCGTGACCAGAGTATAGCAACATCTCTCCCGTATTTATTCTTTGTTGTCCACCTTTGGTCCAATGGGTTTCGCTGATTCCCAGTACTGCCAAGTTTTATCTCCTCACTTCCGTTGCTATTTGACTGGTCTTCCCGGTTTCCCACATTGTTCGGACGTTCCATGTACCTGTAAAAATTGTTGCTCTAATTGTTAGAAGGGGCATTGGCCTCGTGGCTTTTGAAGGAACTCGGCTTTCACCATGAAGCGTCATAATTCTTCTAAATGTAGATCTTCTAACTCCCAGGGCAGAGTTTAAATGGTTTGAATTATTTTTTCTGGTGAGCATTTTTTAGCGAGTTGGTATTCTACGGGATGGGGACGCTACCCCCATGCCCAACCCTCCCCCTTTACCCGGGCTTGGGACCGGTAGTAACTCTAGAAGAGCTACAGGCGGACTCACAAATTATTATTGTTGTAAGTGATTAACAAAATGATAACCCAATGTTCATAATAAACACATATTATTGATTAGATTGTTTTATTTTTAAAATAGATCTAGTTTTGGATAATGCAAACAGTTTTCAAAGATATTTTAGATATTATTTATAATCATGTTTATGGCAAAAGGTGAGATGAAAGTACAGATTATATAGTTGGATTGGAAAAAAGGAACGGGGAGGTTTTTTAACAAAAAGAAACCTTTAATAGAATGTAAATAAGCTTAAAAGAAGTAAATGAAATGCTTTGTCTGTACACTCTTTAAGTGTAGTAAAATATTTACAGAACTTGGTAAGTTAGTTGGAAAGTCTATTTACTTACTTACTTGCGCCTGTCACCTCTCATGGAGAAGCATAGGCTGTCCATCAGCACTCTCCATCCAACCCTGTCCTGGGCAATCATTTCCAGTTGCTATTTATCATTTTCATGTCTGCTCTCAATTCCCGACTCCATGTGTTCTTCGGCCTTCCTCTTTTCCGTTTCCCTCCAGAATTCCAAGTTAGCGATTGCCTCGTGATTCACTTTGGTGATTTCCGTAATGTATGACCTATCCACTTCCATCGTCTTTTCCTAATTTCCTCTTCAGATGGAAGCTGGTTTGTTTTCTCCCATAGTAGACTGTTGCTGATGTTATCCGGTCAACGGACATTCAGTATCATTCGTAGGCAACTGTTTTTAAATATCTGTACTTTTTTGATGATGGTTGTACTCGTTCTCCGAATTTCATCCCTGTACAGTAGAACTGTCCTGACGTTCGTATTGAAGATTCTCACTTTGATATTAGTTGACAGTTGTTTTGAGTTCCATATGTTCTTCAACTGTAGGAATGAGGGGAAGTCTATTTAATCTACTCATTTCTAATCGTGTTTGTTTAGTTATTAATATTCGTTAACAGAGTATATACGTAATGTTAAAGAGACCATCAACGGATCTCAAGTCTGACTTAATATTACTGAGTGATTTTTAATCTTAATAATATATGAAAAAAATTATTCAGATAACAAAATTAAGTGTGTAGGCGTTTTTGACAAATGATAAGTAAATTATATAAATCCATAAATGTGTCATGATTATCAAGGTAGATGTTACAACATTTCTCTTCACTGTTGTTGTGTAGTGAAATTTAGTTTTAAAAAATGTAATTGAACTAGAATTTAATCACATAGTTAAGATGAATTAGGCCTTATGTGAAATCATACAAAATATTTGTGAAGTTTTTAATAAACAACAGTTTTTCAAAAGTTTATTAAAAGCTTTACAATAAATAATTTAAAGGTTTTGCACTAAAATTCCACCAGAATGAAGATCTATAAACTCTTCTTTACAATATTTTTTATCAAACTACATAGTTTTACTGGAGTTGTGTATATGTATATGCAATAATGATCATTCGACCCAAGTAATACTGAAATGTTTATTTTAACGGAGAACGTGTGGTCTAATCATCCATGTGCCTGATTTGTAATTTAGGACAAGATATAAAGTCTGCCCAACTAAACCCGATTTCAGCATCTGTGTAGTACACTTGGCCCTAACGTAACCGGTATAGCAGTCTTGTATATGAATTAATTAATAACAGTTAGTACCAGTTAGCTATGTAGTTGAAAGCTGATTTTTTTCTTATATTGGACTGATCTTCCAGAAGTATCTATATTGTTTTTAATATTCTTATAACTCTAAATATCACAGTTTTATTTATAAAGTTGTTAAATCACGATATCTAAACAGCGGGAGTGCATGAATTAATGGTTAGGTGGTCTAAACTTTTAGATTTCAATCAATAGATTGATGAATCGAGTTCCTCTCCACCTACTTTGGCTTAATCAAGCATGTAATATCACTAATCTTCACAAATAAACTTGCGCTTTGTAAAATAATTACACAGAACAGAATAGGTACAGATAGCTATTAACACTTTCAGTTTTGTTCCGTGTTATCTTTAAAAAAAACAGTACAACAAGGATGAAATCAGTACATTCAAGTAGTAAATTTTGTTCCAGTGCACTAAATGACAGTATTGAGAAACTTCTTCAGGGTGGTTAATTAGCTTGACTGCATGTCATAAGATCATAATATGTATTTATAAGAAGAAACTAACTATCTTTTCCTATTTGTGATTTCTTGTTTACATAACAGGATTATTTACGTCATGTAATTAAATACGGTCATGAACTTGCTGAAACAGAATTGAACATAACTAATCAAATTCAAAATAGAGCTGAACAATTGAAAAACGAAATTGATCAAATAGCTAATAAACTAACCAATCAAATTGACAAAGAAATTGGGAATGAAATGAAGCTAATTGACCAATGTGCAGGGTCCCTGTATCCATTAATTGCCCAATGTGAAGTAGCCTGTCGATATGCTAATGCACTGAAGGATTTTGGAAGGTTAATTATATTAATAATAGTAATTTTAGTTTTTTTTGTTGTTGACTGGAATACTTAATTAAAAATAGCATCGATGGTTATACTTTTTATTTTGGGAAAAACGCATATATATGAACTTCTTTACATCATAGGTCATTGCACTAATTCTCGTCTATCCGAGTGGTTTCAGTTCACGTCGTTACAGTCAGCGACAACTATTGGGAAGAAAATTAAAGGGGTGAGAAAATATGTGGAAAATACAATCTGAAATGACCAATTTAGTTAAGTACCAAAAAGTAGAATACAGACGAAGATATGGAATGAATTCATCTGCGCAACTAAAACAGATTTAGATCCATTTGTTAGAAAAAACCAACAACAGATTGGAATTATCATTCGGGAATTCGTAATATATTTCCCACCCACCTCTATCAATGAAGGCTCACTGCCTTAATTCATAACCGTTCACTCAGTGGTTACTTAATATCCAATCAATGCTTTAAATATGCATATGTTCGACTGTCACAGGTCTTTCTTCCTGTATCATATCCATATACACAATCTTTCTTTTATATATTACTACCGTTGAAGTAGCTACGTTTATGAATTTGGTGTTCATCTTGTTATGCTAATGAAGTGTGGCGACTTGGACCGATACATATATGTGTCTGGTCCTACGTTACAGCTGACTGACTGAGTGAATTAAAGAACGTGTTAAAACAATTAATCTGGAGATATAAGGCTGTCCATCTTTAATTAAATAGTAATGACCTTGTAGTAGCATTGAGGCAATCCTTTCAGCATGCGCCAAAAGGAGATTGATCAAAATTCAGTTTTTAACATCAACGACAAGAAAATTCAAACACTTACAAATCAGTAATAGCTTGGTAGAAACTTCTGGTAATTAATTTTTTCAGTGATGTAGTGTTCGCTTGACGGTCAATCTACGGCAATTGTTTGCAACTAGTTATTTACAAATACCTCGTATTTGTGATGGTCTATTTTTTGAAGCACTTGATTTGTAAATACTGGATTGCAGGATCAAATCTGAATGTTCCACCTTGATTTAGGCAACCAGTAATATCATTAACTTGCACGAAAAAGTGTCATTCAAAGTCTAGCACATTAATCTGCATTTGGTTACTGAGTTTTAATTTTTCAACCCCGATCGGTGTTATCTGAGTAGTTCAGTGGCAAATATTTTAAGCAAGCACCTGAATCACTTGACCTTAATTCTCTAAGAACATAAAAAGATTGCAATTTTTAATGATCTACCTTATTAGTATTAGCAAACACGAAGCATAGATGAAATTCGGACTTCCTGGAAAAAGTATCAAGCATTAAACACTGTTACAAACGTTCATTCTTAAAGCATCCTGAAAACGATAAGCTAGAGCGTTATTTAATAAGTAGTTGGCATAATTAATAAAAGATTAAATACATAATTGTTCTACCAGAATCCAAGCAGGCGGAACAATCAATGAAATGTATACTTTACTCATAATTAAGAGCTTACAGACAATCAATCACACTGATAGTCAGAATGACTTATTTTCGCTAAACAAGCTAACTTATTTTTTTTTATTCGAACAGTTTTAATATTATGGACAGCAGTGATAATCCAGTAGCTTCAACTGAACTATCCAGTATAAAGAAATAGACAAAAAATTAGAGAGACGTCTCAAGTTGTACTTAGCATTTCCTTTAATCACCGAAACGCTATATTTTTATACAGTCTTGTACATGTGTACATATATACAAACTGATTCAAAGTCTGAATCAATTTGTATGCCAGATAGTGTTATTTTTAATCCGTAATCACTAGCCTCTATTTCTATATTTACCTTGATTCATGTGTAAATGATTATGTATGGTGGAAGGCATGTACCGGTCTACGTATTTATTTCTCTAATCAGCTTAAAAATTGTTGAAAATTTCAAAAACTCATTCGCAGATCTTATACCATTAGTGGATTATTATATTGTCGGCCAATTAGTTGGATTGTATACGAAGTTAAAGATGAACATATAAACCTTCCTGCACATCCTCCTTGTTTACATTAAAATTTATCGTTCTCAATTCTTATAATCTGGTATTTGACATGGATTAAGGCATAGTGAAGAGTAAACATAACTTTTGGTAACCAGCCCCTTTAAATACACATTTTCTTTCTACAAGGTAGTTTCAAAAGAATTTATCATATGTGGAAGTAAACATTTTGAAAAATAAATCTTATTTAATTAATTAAAATACTTATTCTAGCATCTCAAATTTTTGACTATCACTTTAAATAGAGAGATTGTCGAACTACTGTGTTTCTTGGACAAACAATGTATCACAAATTTTATTGCTTACTTTAGGCCTTATAATTCAAGATGAAAATCAAACCGACAGTTTGAGACTCAGAATCTAGATTTTTATTTAATTTTACTCACAAATCTTGTGAGTGTAGAAGTTATTCTGTCTGAGCACGGTTAGTTGAAATTATCTGTTAAAAAATATCTTATCCAAGAAATATGATTATATGTATGTTCAATAGGCCTAACTGATCTGACTTTCTGAACTTAATTTGTCTAGGTTCGAAAGTGAGGTAGCCATAGTCAAGATCTAAGAATTAGTTATTTATTGACTTAATAGTTCAAATTTGTTGGTAAACGTTAGAGATCAGCAGAAGTGGTATTCGATAGCCATTAATTTCGGTCAAATAAGTAGATCATAATTGAAACTAAACCATTCTTAATTGATTTATACTTGTTCATTAATCAACTGGGATTCATGAAGTTTTCACAAAATAAGCTACCACCGTATGCTGGACTTTAACACACATTATTTCAGTAAAAATATGAGAATATGAAGGTTATTAATTTTAGAGTTGAAATAATGGGAAATCAAGTAAGACGTTTGAAAGTTACCTGAACTATTCTAATCGAATTACCAATTAGTTAGTTATGTAATCAGTCTAGACGTGTAATATTCCAATTAATTGTTGAGTGTGTTAACGGTAATAAATGATTATAAGTTAGATATATATTATTATCAGAAGGGGTTTTGTGGAGATTGCAGTAATTTCGATAATTGAGATCATGAGTCAATTGAAGCTAGACCACCATGGAAAACCTGGAGGCACTAGACGGCCGTTTCGTTCCATTGTGGGACTCCTCAGCAGTGCTCATTATGTATTTCTTAATCTTTAAAATATTCTTTCGTTTTTTTAATTGTTTTTAAAATAGACCAGAAGAGGTACTTTTCTGTTTTGATCAAGTAAACGAACAACTGAGCTATTTGGGACAAAAGAAAATTGAATATTTAGGAGGTAAATTAGACGTTATTTGGTTAATATGGTAGCCTTTAATACATAGCTTAAACGATTCTAAATAAATATTTGTGTTTCTCAAAAGACCTTTGAATTTTGCATACCCTTTAAGTGCTTTTCATGAATCGGGTGGAAATAAGTGTTCATTCTACTGTGGTTATCAGCATTATTCTTACACGCATTCCATGCGGTATAAGTATGGTCCAACAGGGTTCCTGGTACTTGTAAGGTTATACTATAGTATTTTGCTATGCTGTTCAGGTTGTACAAAGGTTGAATTCCCCCTGTTTATCATGAAAGTAATGTAAAATTACCCTTTTGCAAAGTATACTTTTAATCGTGATTTGGTATTATATCATAGATAAATAAGGAGTATCCACTACCAGTTTATACCATTTACAACCATATTCTTAGGTAACATAAAACGAATGAAGTTTATTGCCCAAATATAAGTTCAAGTACATGACTTTAAGTAACATACTTTATCTGCCATGGGAAGTGATAATTCAGAGCTGACTAATCCAAAGTAAGCCGAGCAGGGTTGATCCCAAAAGCTAATGGGTCTAAACCGAATGTTTAAAACAACAAAACCATTACTTTACATATTGAGTAGTATAACCTTACTGTAATTTTATGGTACATGATACAAGTTTATTTAACGTAAAGTACAACTTCAAGGGTCGTAATATCCTATAGGAGGGAATGAAATATCACCAATCTTTCTCGATATTTTCATTGACACAATTTGCAGTCTTCCATGTATTGATAGCTTGAATTATCGTAATCTGCTTTTATATAATAGTACTTTACTATTCAACTAGTAGGAGCTCTATGAAACGTACAAATTCCTTCACCGAACACGTATCGATTTCTTATTAATAGTTATTTTCAATAATCACAGTATAGGCAAGTCAAGTTTTCTTTCAAATTTTACGAAAGGAGTGGCATGCTACAGTTATATGAGAATTAACAAACCTAGAATTGATAAATCCTTGTAATGCTTTTAATTGACCTATTCAAAATGATAATATAGTTCAAGTTTAGATTAGTAATTTTGTGAAACGTTTATTCATTACATTATTTCAACACTCTGATTATCTGTTATTGTAGTCACATAAATAAGCTTCATCAACTTTCTCAAATAGCGATATTGTTTGAAGTTACTTTTGACTTTACTTTCGTTCTTTAGAATGTTACTGTTGGATGATTAAGGTAGAATATTTTGAGGAATGGGTTAGCAAATTAGGTTAGACAGTGGAATTACGTCACCTAGAAAATCACTGAAAACCAGAGTAAACTAAAAGAGGAAGGGGTTCATAATCCTCGACAGTTTTTTGATCTAATACGGGTTAGTAACGAAAACTAATTTTGAGTCAAACAATCTGTACAAAGCCAGAGCAACTCGATAGTACCTATTCTGCCTAAAATCATGTTTAAATTCTAAATACTACTCAATAGTATATAAGTAGCAACAATCATTTAGAAAATAATCACAATTCTTAATCGACATTACACAGTAAACATCATTTTCAAAAACCCTCAGTAAATCTTTAAATCTCTAACATGAATTAATTTCACGACACAACTCGCTCTTCATGTGGCACTCTAATTTCTGTCGATCGTAGTATACACTGACCCCTTGAACACCAGACAACAGTAGCTAGTTTTATCATTTTAAAATTATCTTTTTATCTGAGAATTGAGTTTGCTATTGATTTCAAGTAAAATAATTTATATCAGGCGGTTAGAGGCACTCGGTGAGAACTTGTGAGTCAAGATTCGATGTCACTGAGCATTCACTAGCAAGATGTATATTAAATCTTATGAGAAACGTATAAGAATGACGCAACTCGGATTTCAACTTAAACTTACAAGACACTGCAATTTTCGAATGAATATAAATCTAGTAATAACAGTAATTTATGAGAATACTAAAAATGTATCTAACTGTTCGCGCTCAACATTTACGCATGCTCTATGCAGAAAGCTTCTCTCCTTTCATCCTTATTTGATGCCAACTTAAAAATTATTATAAATTGAGGATTGTTAGATCCGTAATTCATTTCTTGTCTAAAACTCCTCAGTAGTGCCCACCGCAGAAGTGGATTGCGCTACGTTACACGTTAAACTAAAATTGAGGAGATGGACTATTGCAATCTGGCTCACTTGTCCAAAGTAACATCATCACCGTAAGAACAGTAATCCCACGTCTCAACCTCTTACAGCGTCTCTAGTGTGTACTATTGGCTACCTTAAAGCTAGGACTAAATCGTACAGAGATCCCTAGTTTAAATTTATTCTCTAACCGATGTTAGTTAACGACTTGAACTGTCTGTACATTTATTCTTATTCTGATGGTCGTCTGAAATTTTTTTTCAACAGTTTGATGCTTTTTTGGAGTGTTTTTTCATCCATGAATCATTGTCTATTTTTTTTACACGACTGATTAAAAATGAGCGCTTTAGACTATTGAACAATTATTTAAAATTATCTTGGAAAAAAGAAATTATCCCACTAATTCCCATTAATTTTATCGTTTTTTAAAATAATTAAAGTGTATCTGGGGATGATATTTAAGGAGTAGATATGTTGAACAATTTATTTATATTGTTGACATAAAATGAGATGACTAACAACACTTAGTTTTTGAAACGATCATAACATGTCACCTATGAATGAAATGTCGGATAATGGATACTTTTAGAGTAAGGATCAATATGTTAGATGAGAATATATAAATATTAGAAATTGAATTTTTTTTAAAATCCACTGATAGGCCATTCAGAAATTGTTGTTTCATTAAATAGTGTGGTATTGATAACAGTAACGAAGTTTATGGACAAACCAATTACATTTTTGGGGCGAAGCTTATCCATCTAAATGACTACAGAACACTCTTGTATAATAGCTAATATCAATACGTGATGAAAACTATAAACAAAGATCCATTATTCATGTTAAGATCATTTATCAATCATAATTTTAATACTTTTTAAAATTATAAGTCATTCCATAACCAAACGATGTTTTCCCACTGATTAACAGGTAATTCAAGGTCATCCATATAATTGACTGCCACAATAATACTAATCATAATGACAGACAAGCATACTTGAAGAAATTTTAGCACCGACTAATCATAACTAGATAGCTATTGGTAAGCAGAAAGAAAGGGAAAGTTGTATCGTCCTAATTTTAAAGCTGATGTATGTTCATGATGAGAATCACTTTTAAATCATATAAAATCTTTGAAAAAACTACTTTAACCATCTAAAAATATAAAAGTAGCCAAATTCAAACTTTTTCTCATTAGTGAATACTTCTGGGTGCTTTTAATTGAAAAAGCTATTTAGTCATAGCTTTCAGTTCCTCCTGATGTGTGACACTAAAATATACTTAATGGTCTTTAATAGTTTTGGAATTTTTATTGGAAATAAGATGAAAAATATATAGGGAGTGATAGACTGCTTAACTATGCTTCAAAGTTTTTATTAGTGTGAAATTCTATTAGTTTCCCTACAGATCTCTGAATTTACTGGCTTTCTAGTGAAAACTCTATCTCTGAGTTATTTCCTAAGTAGTTCAGAAAACGGTGAATGTCGTTCAACTGTACGTTTGTTAACCTTATCATGCGTATAAATGAAGTATTCCTTGTAGTTTCTACTACTCTGAAAAGTCACAAAAAGCGTTTCGATGTAGAACAGCTTACGTTTTTACTCTATAGATTTTATTGAATATATAGACTGAGATGATAATCGTGGAGTATTTATCACATATCACTATTTTCTGTCTTATTTTCTCATTAGCACGTATAAAAACATATTTCAAAAATGGCGGTTATAGTTATTGTGAAGATGGGGTAGAAACAAAAAGTCAAACATTCAATTCATCATATTTATTCGGAAGTATTGAATCTGAAAAAATTGCAGAGGAATTTTCAAAAAATGAAATTATCAATCGTTCAGCTATTCATAAACAAAATGAACTTAAATTAGAGCTTAGTAATATATACTTAAATCCTGATCAAATATCAGTCGGTGTAAATACTAGTCCAAGAGAGCTAGAAACATTAACTAGTTATCATGAAGATAATCGATTTAATATTAATGATAATGAATTAAATTTACTTATTTCAGGGTAAGTTGATTTTACTTTTGTTTTTCGTATTACGTTCTCTTAGCTATGATGAGAAGAGGTCACAAAAAACCATGAATTTGAGTCTCACGCTAGCTAACATTTGTCAGCAAATACTCACAAAATCTAAGCTCAAGGGTTTCATGTTGCTCTGATTCAACTACTTAACGTAAAATAGTTGATTCATTCAGACTAGTGAAAACATTTAACAGGGTCGACAGGACTGAAATTGAAGACCAAATATTAGTGTACTTTGTTATACATAGATAGGTTAGATATTATCAGCTCTGGCCTCTATAATAGTCGCATGACTGTTCAGTAAAGATTGAAGACTAGAATTTCATACTTAATTTGTCGACCTAAAAATGGAAATGCTGAGAAAAGACAAAACGTGTTCCAAAGTACATCAACCAGAAAGTTATCCAATCTCTAATGTTCCCTTCTTAAGATGTTTTTTTTGTCATAATCATCATGATCATAATAATCGTTCTACTCTATGTATGATTTCAATACCAATTATTCCTAGTATTTATTTAATTTTCTGCCCATTTCATTAATTGCTGAAAAAGAACAATGTCATGAAGCAAATTTGATTTCTTGAAATTTGTCCAGTAATAAAACTAGAAAAAATTTCATTTTCCTAAAGTGCTTATTTAAAAAACGAACATTTATTATTTCTCAACTTGAATTAATTTGTTAAACTGAGATTTATGATTGTTTATTTCTAAATTGAAAGTATTATTTATTAATTTAATTAAGTATTAGGTCATGAAATAAATTAATTCGTTCTAAGTGTGTAACATGAAGTTTACTGAAATTTTATGGATCATTAAGATAACCAACGAGGAGCTGTGAACATATAAACTCTAGGAAGTGACCTTTTTCATATTAAAGAATCAAGTGACTCGTTGATCGGTAACCGAGTAATAATAATAATAGTTTTAAATTATACCATGAGAACAAGTGGGATCCATAAGGTTATAGTAGGTCACTCCCAAAGAGCTTAGTAATGACATTTCTGATTATTAAACTCGACTCTACAGATTAAAATCTCAAGGATGACATTAGTTCCCCAGAGATACGTCTGGAATGAGGGCTGATGAACATGAGCTTTAGTTTTTGAACTTTTTATCGATTGCTTCCGACCATTTAACGTCAGATGGAGTTTGGGGATTACCGGTATTATTAAAGCAGATATAGCATCAAGAAGGTATAGTTTTGCTACACTCTTAACTTTTATTGTCTATCTCTTTATGTCGATAAATTCTTTATCGATGCATCTGTAGGTTTCAGTGCGACAACAAATATTATGATGAATTTTATTTGCACTTCCCTTCATTTTTACTGGCAAGCCGTGAGATACTGTAATCAATTGAATATATTCCAGTCTTCATGTAAAGTTATTAAATCACCAATAGTATTGGTTAATTACCGTGCTATTTCACAAATTGATTGAAGTTGAACGCATATCCCTTGGATCACAACTCAATGGTTGAGTGCTCACCAAGAAACCTGGAAGTCCTGGTGAACCCAAAGAGGTCCACTACTGGGCAACCTTAAACCAGAATGAAACTGCAGTCCAATATCCTTTTGTTTATTGTGGTACCCCAACTAAGATCGATTCATGATAAATGCCACCTACCGATCAAAATAATTATGGAACCACTGCAATAAATGCTGATTCATAAATATCATAATTTTCATCAAGACATTATCAGCACTAGACTCAGCAATAAGAAATTCTTTAACAGATTTATTATCAAGTCGTATAAATGAAATTTCGATGGTCTACATCCCATAAGAAAAAGTAAACAATGAATAACCAAGATAACGTAATAATAAGAAATGTAATATAAAGTCATGCAATAATTAACGAGACTAGTAAAGGTTGTTTACTTCATCCACACTAAAACACGTTGTTAGTTTACTAGTTTTACACCCCTTTCTTAATAACACACACACGTTACGCAATCTTGTGCTATTGTAATCAATATTATTTATACTGTATGATTTATTTTATTCATATTTAGTCCTTATGACTGTTTATTGTTAACATTTTTCATGGGATTTGATCCTTAAAAATTTCATTTATACGACTTCATAATAAATTTATTAAAACCTAATCATCACATGAGATTTTTCACTATTGTATTCCCATGATGAACAAGTATTAACTAGTGAAATATTTCTTTTGTATGTTTGAAAGTAGCTTTCTTTAGGCTATATTTCTTCTCTTATAAATTTAATCTACTGTAATATTGCATTATCTTATTTTCTTTTGCATAATCCAAAATAATCTACAATACATGTCCTTATTTTATATTTTATATAGTAATCGTTTCAAAACAAATGAAAGCTTCTTAACACTAAGAAATGGTTATACATCTGATAATATGAAACAGAAATCAATGATTAAAGAACAGTATAATCTATCCAAATGTCAAGTAACCAATGAATTAGAATTTGATGCAAGAGTTAGTACTGATTTACGTGATGTTTGGCCTACTGGATTAGTTGTAAATCAATCGAATGGAGACATTTATGTTGTGGATAGAGATAATTCTAGAATCAAGGTATGAGTTTATGATTTCACCTTATCTATTTTACCGATATCTTGTTACATAGTTTACGACATTTAACAGCAACAGGCCAGCTGGAAACTCCTCAATAATGTGAATTAATTTGTTGTTTATCGCTATATTTTCAAGCGTAAATAACAGAAATTCATATAATTTGTTTTGCATACTCAATGCCATCTACTTTTGTAGGAAAATTTCAAATTATTTATTCAATTGATAATATGTTGGTTTGTTTAAAACAGATGATCAGTTATGTTGTATAGATAATTTCAATTTAAAAACTTAATATAATTCAGTGCATGGTCAGTAAGTTCACTACTAAACAGTTAGCTTAATATAGGTCACTTTCTTCACCTAACTGTTTACTTCGTTTAGTCGGCAGTATATATATATATATATATATATATATATATATATATATATATCTACCAAGTAAAATGAACATATGTTTAATTCTGAACATGTAGTATTAGTTTAAACTAACGTTTCCTAAGATAGATGTTGCTAACAGCTTATATTTTAAACTTCACACTAAAAAATAAGAAAATTTTTTGTGATTAAAGTGTCTGATAAATAGGGGACAAACTTCAGAACTTTATCTTGCATATGTGAGATTATAACTTGTTTATATCTACTCACTAGAACTAGGTAATCAGCTGCCCACTTAACTATACAGTTAGGGAGATTTAAAGTTATCAGTAGATAGCAAAGCAAAGTATATTTTACTTCTTTTTTGTTAATACAAATTAGAAGACGACTGATTAAATTATCACAATTGAACTATGAACGTATCATTAGATTTTACACTATCAAATGCCAATGGATTGTTTTGATGACTTGTGTAAATTGTTTCATAGTTATTAACCATCACTTTGCAAAAAGTAGAATTTCGTTTATTGATGTATTATGAGAAATTTAGATTTTTATGAGACTATTGCAAAACAGCTCTAACACTAAATAGCTCACTAGGAGCAGTTATTTGTGTTTCAATACTGATCAAATGTATACACAGTAACTTCATCATTTTGAATGATACTGATAACTATGCTTTATATTATATACTTAAAATCAGTTGTCCAATTACTAGGGATACAAACTATTGGCGAAATGAACACAATCCTAAAGATTTACCTTAGGTTTTGTCGACATTTATAATTGAGAAATACTGAAAAACATTGACTCAGAGCTTATGGATTCTTGTCAGTTTCTCTATGTTCGGTAACATTTTCATATCAGTATTACTTTATTGGTATAGTTGTATTTAACCATATAACAGACAACTAGTTTCTCCAATACCGTTTAGTTAAGTTGTTTTGAGAAAAAAAATGTTGATAACCTTTAAAAAAAGAAATTCCATTTAGACAATTTGTTGAACAACTTTTTCTTCTAATCTCTGCGCAGATTTTCTCTAGTGAAATAAAAACGATCAAATAACTTCCCATGTTGAATATATCATTCAACATTAATAAACAGTTTGATATACTTTAATCATTCTTCTCTATATTTCTTGTTTATTTCAAAGCTTTTTACCCATGATGGAACATTTATTTCAAGTTTAGGTGATACAGGTGAAATGACTGACCGACTTATAAGTCCATTTGACATTACACTATCATCCAGTCGGGGAATTATATTTGTATCAGACTATCAACGAGATGAGGTAGGATATTAGCTTGATTGTAGTCTTTATGTATTCGATTTCAGTAAATGTAGACATATATTAATGATTAATAAACCAATGGACTAATTTTTCCGTTTCAGAGAAAACTTGAAACTTTTTAACATTTTGTAGACATTACTTACAGAAAAATCATTGGCATTAATGAAGCTTCAGTTTACGGTTTCTTGTTGATTGAACTTAACAACTTAAAACAAAAGCTTTAGTGGCCCTTCATTTTGACGTTAATTAGACCGCACGATGTTTTCGACGAGCTCACCAATTTAATGGCCGGGGATCTGACTCCAGTTAGGTCGTATGAGTGATTGCTGTCAAAATATACATCCTTACTATTCTTGTATATTATTATCGACTTAATCCACGCTGGTGAATAACGGAATTAGATAAGTCAAATACGAGAAAGGATTTCGAATACAAATACTTTATACAATCGTTGATGTGAACAGATAACCTGAGGAAAGAAGCGAAGAGAAATGACGCGCAGTGGAGAAGGCGTATGAGCCAACTCGATTTAACCAAGCATTAATCGATATTTATAGTCAGATAAAAATAGGTTACAGACATGTGATGAGTAGGATAAGATGTACACTTATATCGACTCATATAAAAGCAGTCATGGTTAATAAGTGAATAATTAACAAGGTCAAAACGTGACTCTAGAATAATGGATAAATTGACCTGTCCAGAAACTAGAATAAGTTATATGTGCATAACATAGTAACCGACACTACAAAGCATAGTATTTATGATAATTGCTGTTTTAGAATATAATTAAATTTTAAAATGAATTTATATAGACCAAATCTGAAGGTTCATTTTATTAATAATTATCGTTTTAAGTTTTCACGGAGAATATACACTTGAGATCAACACAAGTAATACATATAAGTATTCATTTAAATGGTTCACTAAATTATGTTCACTTGTTATAAGTTTAAGTCTATCATAAACATATTAACATAAATGTCTCGAAATCATACCTTAGTGTATGTAAAAATTGGATACAGTCAAAGTTATTAAAATTGAATAGTTGATAAAAGTAAAATTTTTATATTGTCGAGTTAACAGTTGCTTAACCTATTTCACTATACTGATCAAGATGGAAACAGAATGAAAATTTATACAAATATTAGTCAATATTTGACTGAATAGTCTAACAGAAATTAGGCTCTCAGTATATAGAAGACATAATTTATTTGCTAAATGAAATGTTAAGATTACTTCAAATATATGTTTCACAAACTAGTGACTGGCTTCAAGAGAAATTTCCTAGAGTTCTAGTGAGAAACAGTGATCAGTGGAGTTCAACCGGGTCTGTTGTGAGATAGTAACTCACTGAAGACAATGGTGGATGTGTCACTCAGTTTCGTGGATTAGTTGAAGCTAGATATTAACACTGTCGGATGCTATCTCAGTGGTTTAGAGGTTAAACGTTCGCGCGCGAGACCGATAAGTCCTGGGTTCGAATTCATCCAGGCGGGGTCGTGGGTGCTCACTGCTGAAGATTCCCACAATAAGACGAAACGGTCATCCAGTACTTCCAGGTTTTCCATGATGGTCTAGCTTCAATTGACTCATGATCTCAACTATTAAAATTATATGAAAATGTTTAGAATCTGTTTGTATTTAAACATGCGTATAAATTATTGAATTAGTTTTGATTTCTATTCCAGTGAATGATTGATCTTATATTTATTAACTAATTCATAGATATTATAATTGTCTATTTGTCCTTAACACATGAGGTTTTTAATAAAATCTCTTTAATGAACTTGGTTTAGTGAATTGGATAGTAATTAGTTTGAAATCTGTTTTATGTGGCGGAATGAGTTATACTCTTTAGGGAAAAATGGGTTTTATCAAAGTCTTTAGTACTTCTTTCTAGACTCTATTTGGTATGATACTTAGATAAAGCTGAAATTCATAGGTATTACTTCTAGTGACCAGAAACTAGGTACTTCATTATTTGTTTTCAAATTATTTACAAGGAGGATAAGATTAATTATCTTTACTTATTGATAAACATATACAACTATAAAACTGCTTGAATCTGTTTTTTTTAAAATTATTTTCTACGGTATGTACAATAAATTAAACTTTTTTTTCTTTATTCTTCATAAAGATTCGACTATTCAGCTTCGATGGACGTTCACAGGGTACATTAACAAAAAATAAACTTAAACATCCACGTGGAGTATGTTATGGTATTGGATTATTGGCTGTTGTTGAAAGTCGACGTCATCATATTAGTCTTTATGACATCCGCTGTGATACTAATTCACCAGTACATCAAATACCTGTTGATAAAGGATTAGTTGGAGAAGAAGATAATTCAAACAAATTTATTTTTAACAGTCGAACTGCGCTTACTGAACCATATTATGTTGAATTTGTTGATGATGGTGGAGGATACTTAGGTGTTACTGATTGGGCTGCTCCAAGTGTCAAGTTGTACTCATTAAAGACTGGTTCTTTTCTATCTTCTATAGGTGGTTATGGTACAACAAATGACAATGTATGTTCATAATACCATATTATTTATTAGAAGTTTAAGTTAGTTGCGTGTTTTTTTTCGATAATGAATTCCAAATCTCTGGTGACATTTCAAATTGGTAAAAAAGATTAATGGAACTTCCCGAAACTAAACGTTTCGGTCAGTTAGGTTACTTTGGAAGAAATAAAATTTATCAACAATGATTTCTAATTAAATTTCCATTCACAATTCATTGCAGTTGTAGACAAACAAGTTGGTAAAAGTAGATAGGATGCAATAGCTTTTATCACTGAACTATTCATACTGATTGTAAATATGCATATTAAGTATGAAGCCTGATATCTTCATCTTCATCTCATTTCTAAATTTATAATCTACGTATGGAAAAATGAGTTTTCTTCACTCGAATGCGATTATCAACTGAGTAGGCAATGTGCACATTGATAGTGAGACATTTATCGTTAAAAAAATCACTTAAGAACATCATATTGGGATAAATATCTACTACTATAACTTTCATAACATGTAAATTTTATTTTACGTAGGAGGTTAATACGATGAATACTGTTAGTTTTGTTAAATAAGGATTTCTGTGACATAACCACTACTTTAAAATGTTAATGTTTATTTCCTTTAAACTGTGGAAAAATAGTTATCACTAAATTAATCCTAAATAAATTAACCGTTTTGTCAAAATAATGACCTAATCCTCATTAGTAATTTGTTTTCACATGGGTTTTCTAGTAAAGAGTTAACATTGATCAGGTTAACAATGTCAAGAATGTTGACGAATGTTCACTATTAAGAGTGATGAAAGATATGTTATGTTAAATAGTGACTAAAGTTGGGAAAACTCAAATAATGGACTTTTGTATAGGGTGTTATATGTTACTGCACTTATTGTGAGGTCTGAAACTTCTGAGTTGGACCGGTTTTAGTGTGATGTTCAAGAGCCATATAGAGGGATGAAACAGTGGTCCGATTATTCATTTCGTGTAAAGTAGCGATTAAAATTTCAATTTTCTGTATATTATAGGGCCTCATGTAGCTAGAATTCCCCCTATTTGGTGTTCACTTACAAAACATACAGCCTATTCCAAGAAATTTCTATCCTTTTTCATTTTTAATTGTGTGTTGTAAAATGTCATAGATGATTAACTTTATTTATTATTGGTTTTGTAAATTACTGAACTGTGTAGATCTTCACTGTAGTCTATAATTGATTCAAAGCTTGATAAAAATTAGGTTGTTTTAGAAAGTTTCCTGGTCTCAGTTCTATACAAGATGGTGTATATTACTGATTTTACTTTGTATGTAGTCTACAATTTTACCTATTACTGCCTAAAAATCAACGTTTCAAAAATGTAAACCTTTTTCACAGACAATTATTTGAAAAAGTACTGGGAATATTGCTTTTATAACATAACTTTTTTCCCAAGAATGACGTTAATTTGTAAGAAACGTTTATGTACCATTTCTTGACAGCTCGTGTTCAAAAGGAAATTCCATGAATACTGCACCTTTATTAAGCCATATACACATATATTCGTATCTACGCACACACACACATGGTGATTACAGATGTAGTAAATGATCACTTCATTTTGAAACACAGTCAACTGTTTATGATTTATGTAAAAATATCGAAACTTTTCCTGCTTTTCACTTATCAGTGAGGATATATATGCGAATGTTTATTCACTGAACAATTTTTTTCTGATATACTTTTATTCTAGTAAGAAAGAAATATTGATTTTCGTAGATAATCACTCAGTTATAACATGTATTACATTACAACCCTCCCTTTTTCTCCTACCATTTTCATTGTACAGTAAATGGCAGTCATAAAACAGTCAAAAAATTATATAAATACACGTTAAGTCAGTTTGGACACTTGGAAAATCTATTATATATATACTATTATATGTAGCTGATAAATTTGTTTACCTTCATTATTGATTTTTATGACTAGATCTCGAAGCGACTTAGACAGGGCAACTTGTCTGTATGACTCCATATCATGATACTTTTTGATTATTTTTATGATCCTGATTGATTCTTTAAATGTTCCCATACTTTTACAGTTTTATTAATTTGTACACCTATTAAAAAATGGATCAGTAAAATATCATTTTTACATAAATATTTGATGGTGATATTCCAGTATGTGGATCTTTTATATAAATGGTTATTTAAGATCATGTTTATCTAACATACTGTTAGATATTCTCCCCTATCACATAAGAGTCATGTTCTTAACTACGTATAATGTTAACTTATTTTCAAAGTTACTCATTACATGACAAAGTGTATTCGATTTTGAATTCTTCAGAAAATCAGTATTGTTCCTAGTTCACCAAGAAGAGCGACTAACCATTGTCGTACGGGATAAATAGATAGAATTCAGGACCAAATGGTTGTATGTTTGACCCCAATTTGATGTAGTTGAACTAAATAGTCAAATGTTTCGAGTCAAGACAAAACATTTATTCAGTATTTTCTAGTTTTATTGAATACTCAATTCGTTTTGCTTCATGATGAACATCATAAGCAGGAGATATTCTCTTCCATAATAGCACGTTAACCAATAATAACACACTAGGTGGGCGATTTTTAATCAATTTTCTTAACATATATGACCAGTTAACTTTACAGAAAGTTAAATCCTTTAGGTAACCACATATTAGTATACTGATATAGAATTCTGCTTCACATGAAAATAATTTTCTATAAGGTTATTTAACTTTAGATTTCTTGTTCATCTTCATTGTGTTAAATTTTGCATAATGAACTACAGATTGTTTGAATTTCCCGCTGATGGTTGGAAATTTGAGTAGGTCTTTCTAGTAGCCATTTAAAAATCTTGTGAAAACACTAACGTTGAATTACAACATATTCTGTACATACTTTTGTTTTATTAAGTGATGTTATCAATTACATTAAGAAATTTTAGTGAAGTCGCTTTGATCAGTCACGATTTTTGTCTTCAAAAAGAAAAACCAATCAGAAAAATGTTTTATGATCACCATCTAATTCTGGTTTTATCAAATTAAAAAATAATGGGTAGATAATTCTATATGCTGGACCATTTCTCATCGGTGAGGATACACGACCTCCTCCATAGGTGTTTAGTCCTTCCTGCTTCTCAATGGTTGTCTAACTAAGATCGACGCATCATGTAATTTATAGAAATACAATAATCACCATAAACCTTCCATGGTGAATTAGGATTTCATAGAAGTAAAAATAACTGATCACAGGAAATGTAATAACCTACATTGATTTTATGTAAGGTAGAACTTTGTTTCGCCCGTCATTTGTATATATTCATTATTTTTTTAATCATAGGGATGGTAAAATTCATTTCGAATAGTTTCTCTTCCAAGTATACACTCCAAAGATTCTTGTTTCAACCGGTATTTTCAATGTTATGATTAAAATGTTAATTGTTTTTCTCATTCGTTATTTCCCTGGTGAAATTTACTGTTAGTAGGGCTTCAAATTAGTAAATTACATATCGTAAAATTACTTATAAGTCATCAGTAGCTTTGAACAGCAGAATCTAGATATTTTAGGCCCCATTCAAGAATTATGGATGTTGAAGAATACTATAGGATATCAGATTTTAATGTCTATGAAAAACTTCAGGATGGGAAGTAATAAGACTTTATTTATTTCACATTTACAATACCTTAAGCTTATGTGAAATAAACGAAAAGAGTGATGGTGAAGCAGTCACCTATATGTCGGATAAATATTGCTTTAATTATAAATCAATGTGTACAGATTAGAAGAAATGAATTTGGATATCTGACAACAAACGCCCAAAAGTAGCTTAACATCAACCTTCAATAATAGATCACTTTCTGGTGAAATCATAAATGCATTCCAAAAAGTTGCGCTAAATAATCTGGCTACTTATAGGCAGTGTGCGGAGCAAATCGTAATGGATACAAAATTCCTGTAGGTTAAAGTGTACTTATGCATACCTTTCTAATCGTAAGAATAAGATTCTCACACTACTAAATCGAAATCCAGTAGTTCATATTTTAAGATTTAATAAATTTCTGATATAATCTTTAACCTGTTTCATCATTGACCCATTACCCCATTCGCAACATGGCTGAGACCACAGGTTTTAGTTTTCCACATAAAAAATAGCCACTGAGTACACGTATATTTAATGAAGTGGTTTCATGGGAACACAGTTTAATCTGAAAATACTTTCTACTAAGAACCAATTCGCTACCTGAAATCAATTCAAAATGAAAAGTACATTCAGAAGACTACAGATAATTTGTACAGAACCACTTGGATTAATCTTCAAGCCATTTCACTAAGTAAATAGGCTGTCGATTATTTTTCAAAACTTCTGTTTTAATCATTATTTTACAAGTAAAATCTTATTCTATCGAACTAAACAATTCGTTTCTTACTTTCCATGAAATAAATATCTTTGTCCTCCTTCATATAAACTAGCCAACAGATTATTTGATTTATATTTTAGAAAAGTTGCTGAGGAGACGCATACATTGACCTCAGCTCATTTTAACCAAACGGTAAGCACACATGATAGCATTCATTTTAGTTACTGATCAAGGTAAATATATTTTTTAGTAAACGGAATACACCCATTGAGACATTAAATAAGAAAGATTGGTTCAGCAAAGAGTTCTCTTTTCGGCGAATTCATTTTCGAAGCTGCACAATCGCGAATACATACTTGTTTTTCAGGATGATAATTACAAACGGCTCAATAAGAAGTTCAATATTCGAACACCTTGTGAACACAGGTCACTCAATCAAAACGAACTCTGCGTTCAAAGTCATCTACAATGTAAGTAGAAATCTTCCAAAGGCAGTCATATTGCATCTTCTTAACGTTGCCGGAGCGATAGCCATATATCTGGGGAAACCAGAGTTATGTGTCCAGAAGAGATTGGTACAATCTCTTCTTCTACCATGGTCTTAATGTCTTATAATTTTTTCTTATTTTTTCTTCAAACTCTTCTTTCTTTACAGCCACCTGCTTCTCCTTCCATGTTCTCCTTAAACCTTCTACCCCCCTACTGGTTTATTTCTGTTTCTACTATCCTCATGATTACATATCATCTCAATCTCAACATTTCATCTTATCATGATGAGACAACCCTATCTGTTTTTATGATGAACATTTAAGCCGTTAACAATCAAACTGTTATTAGTTTCCCAGTTTAAAATTTTTTTGAATACCTTTGTTTATTCTACTTCACTGTTACCATGTGTAACAGAAGTTTATTAACATTATTATTGTAATTATCATCCTGAAAAATAAGTGTATATAGTTGCGATTGTACAGCTTTGGAAATAAATCCACACAAAAGGGAACTCTTCGTTGAAACAATCTTTCTTATTCAAGGTAAATATGACTATTTCAAGATTGCAAAATAAAACAAACAATAGAATGCAATAAATAAGTTATCAGGTGGATATAAGTCATATGTTCTAAAATTCGCCTACCATTTATATAAGTGAACCATGATTGGTTGTACATGTCAACAAAACATTTATTTGCTTTCATTTTCAAGGTTGTTCCTTTGTATTTTCGATCACATGACAGAACGATCAAATCCGATATGTTAAAAACAAATCAAGTATTTGATCATAAACTTTATGGGTCATATATTCAGAATACGAAGATAATAAATAAATAATTTACCAAAACATCTCTGTTTTGACTCAAAATACATTTGATTTTCAACTGAACATAATATCTGTACTGTGAATAAGTAAGTGCTAGCTAACGGCCATCAGTGAATGAACATTTCCGCATACTTTTAGTCACCACCATTAAGACAGAACTTGACCTAACATAACAAGTTTGTTGCCCTCTCAATTTGTTCATGTGCACAGTCTTCAGACCAGATTAACTCTTGATTGTTGATTTTAACACAAACAACAGATTAACATCCTTAAATTGTCGTCTATCTAAGTCATCGTTAAGTGCCATTGTTGATATGTATACCAGTAGATCAATTAACAATATTCCAACAGTTTTTTAGATTACTGATATTGGTTTGTGTCGCAAAACACAATGATACTGATCGTAAAATATAGAAAAATTTATTTAGTTATTTTTCCATCAGTCCAGTGCTTCCAGGCTTTCCATGGTGGTCCAGCTTCAATTGACTCATGATCTCAACTATTAAAATTATTATAATATCAATAGTTGAAATCATGAGTCAATTGAAGTTAGACCATCATGGAAAACCTGGAAGCACTGGACGGCCATTCCGTCCTATTGTGGGACTCCTCAGCAGTGCGAAACCATGATCCAACCTCGCGAGATTCAAACCCAGGACTGATCGGTCTCGCACGCAAGCGCTCAACCTCTAAAACACTAAACTAGCCGGCATCCAACAGTGTTGATGTATAACATCAACTAATCCACGAAATTGAGTGACACATCCACCATTGTCTTCAGTGAGTTACTATCTCACAACAGACCCGGTTGAACTCCACTGATCACTGTTTCTCACTAGAACTCCAGGAAATACCTCTTGAAGCCAGCCACTAGTTTTGAGGATCTATCTCCACTCACTGAAGACAATGGTGGATGTGTCACTCAATTGTGTTTATTGGTTGAGGTTAGACACTAACACCGTTGGATGCTGGCTCAGTGGTTTAGAGACTGCAAAACTGATAGGTCCTGGGTTCGAATCTCGCGAGGCGGTATCGTGGATGCTCACTGCTGAGGAATCCCATAATAGGACGAAAAGGCTGTCCAGTGCTTCCAGGTTTTCCATGTTGGTCTAGTTTCAATTGACTCATCTCATCTTACTATAATATCCACAAAATCCCCTTCTGATATTATTTTTCTGTCTTTGTAGATATTAAAAAGTATAGTTTAAACAGTAACTCCAGATTTATATCTCATTATTTGATTTACAATAAATGAACGATCCAAAACTACTGCATTATTTAAGTAAAAATACGTACTAAGTAAAAAGTATTTATGATTATGATCATGAAAGCTGATATTTTATGTGATGCATGGAAGTAAGTTCACTGGATAAATTATACTAAAATTTTAAACGCTTTGACAGGTTAGTTATCTAGAACACTCGGGTTCTCAATCCTTCTCTGGTTAATATGACTTCATGTTGGAAACTACCACTAATTTCTTCAAAATCATCCAATTCATGGCGTTTTTTTAACTAGTCACTTAACATAATGTTCATATAACAACGTAATCTATAAAACTTGATCAACTTTAAGAATTGAATAAAATAAACTTAAATACCATGAAGCAAAGATTTTACGTTGGAATTTTTGTTTCTAAAAATCAAATTTACAGATAATAATGGTAATAATAATATATCAAGTGAAACTAATTATAAATGAAGAACTTAACTCCTCTGAACTAATATATTACCTTTAAAGGAGGATTGTAATGATAAAACAATAAGAAACAAAGAAGCAAATTACGTTTGTAATTACTTAACAGAATAAAATGTAGAATTTCAACACTTTAATGCTAATATTTTGTACTGATCTATACACACAGCAATTCAATGCATTAAAACACATTTTAAAATCTTTAAAACTTTTTATAAGTAATAATTTATTGATCTCTTCAATGTTTTACTTGATTCTTTATGTTGTATTCTTTTATCATTTTTATTCTGTAAAGATTTTACAACCTTATGGAATATGCTATGCTCCATGGACTAGATCATTTCTAATTGCTGATCATGTTAATCACCGTATACAATCATGTCAAATTAAACATATCAATGAAAATGATAATACTATTCTGACAAATGATTTCAATAGATCAACAAAACAAACCAATGGATTGAATCAAATCCATGTTAATGGACATAAAATCACTTCTATTAATTTATCTTCATTGAAACCGATTGCTGAAAAGGGTACACATTCAATATGGCATCCAATGGCTATTACTACAGATATACAACGTAAACGAATAATTGTAACAGAAGCATTAGGCAATGTTAAAGTATTAAAATCAATGGAAACAATTTAATGCTAACTACTACTATTAATGTCATTTAAAATAGTATGAAACATTTCTGAAAAAATAAGAAACGTTTACCATTTTATTGTGATCATTATGTAATCTGGGAATATTTTCTTTTCCAACGATTTATTTAATAAAAAAACAATTTTCTATCGATAATATCATTATAAGTCTTCTATATAAATAACAATTTATGATACCATTACACAATATCCAACATAAACTGCCACCCATGTGATTATTTTTATTTTTAAATATTAATTATTCTTAGAAATAGTTTTTAAGATTGACTCAATAAAAAAATAATAATGATGATATAAATAATAACCTTTCTTAGTCTCGGATACTTCTTTCAAGGAAATGAAATGAAACATTCGTTGAATTCTTTTTAATAGGTCAATTCAAAGAACTTTTAATTCAGGTAAACTACAATTAGTGTTTTCCACATGTCAATTGATCACTCCAAGATTCAAAGATAAATTGTCTAGACTAGTCACTTTCTACGTCTATCAATTCAACTGCCTCTATGGAGCAAGTTATATAGGTAGATGTTCTAGGAATTTCTATATTCGGGCTCGTGAGCATCTCCCAGTGTGGTTAGTCAAAGATGTAGTTAAAACTGTTAACAGCTCTATTTTAGTTCATTTAATTCAGACGGGACATGTGGAGCAATCTTTCTCAATGAAAATTATTTTCACATTATATTTCATTTTTATGAAACCACTATAAAAAATGATAGTTTACTTATAAATCGCTAGTTTGGAGGTAGATTTTCAAAATTATTTAAACTGATGAACTCAATAACTTTTAATGTATTCATCACTTATTGAATCTAGTAACTGAATTTATATGAAAGTATTGTTATCAATTTACTATAGTAGACCAGTCAACAAACACAATAAACTATTGGTCACTATGTTTTTAATAGTATGCTAGTCAAAATACGATGTATTCTTTCAAATCTAATCTATGATAATCATAGTGAAAACAAAGTTTACAGTCGAAAATGGCTCGAGGAATTTAATGACTTAAGGAAGCTCAACAGAATGATTAATCGACAAAAAACCTTTCAGTATTTAAAGTAATATGACTTCTGTTCATTTCAAATAACAGTAAAATCAAAATTCAGGAATATACTGCTCCGCAGATGCTTTTCATAATAACTATTGGTCTTAATATAGTTGGGAATAAGTAGGCTTAATGATCATGCTTTAATCTTGTACACGTGTAAATTATGTAAGAATCTGAATCTTGTGGTTATTTTTTTTTCAATGAATTTTAATCTTGTTTGTTTCTACGCTAAACATTTTAATGTATAAGTATGTCGTTTTGTCACGTAACACAATTTATGTCTTGCTTACGAAATAATATTTTAAAAATCCGTTTACTGTCGACTACTCACTTTCATAATTCAGATTTGTGAGTAATCGTCACTCAACTATATTATTTGCTTCCCTTCAAGTTGCTCATCCCAAAAACAACACAGTCAAAAGAATTTTCTGCAATCTGGCACATTTAAATGTGTACAATGGCGAAATGTCTTGTGAAACAAAAATAACGAACATTGTATAATAAAGTGAATTCATTTTATTTCGTATAAATTAAATCCCATACAAATGAATGCTCTGGAAGGTCGTTCCATCCCACAGATGTGTATATCCACGATCTCGCAACCGTTATCCGTTGATTACGGTAGATCAGTATCTCACACCCAACACGTAATAAACTCCAATACTCACAGATTCTCACGAGAAATACAATGGTTAGACTATGAAACTCCTAAAATCTAAAAAAAAATCCCATATACTTATCCAAATAGATGATACAACGGAACAACATCAAGATATTGCTTAGTAATTAATCTGTATACCAATGCACAGGTGATCGGTTAATAACCTCATGGTTCTAGCTAAAAAGTGTAGTATTTCGTAAAAACTTCCCTTTGCGAAATATCATTCTGATTGATACAGGTCATAAGTGAAAGTGTTCTTCCGTAATAATTTGTTAAAAATTGATCGTTTAGTTTCGCAAAGTTTATGGTTGTTGGGACATTCACTCATATCACTATATGTCTAAACGAACGTTAAATATGACTTAGTCGTTGCACATATACAGAGGTTGCACAATATTTTTGTTTTTCGGCCCATTTCATATATTTGAATTTAAACTTTCTAAATGACCTCTGTTTACTTTTAAAATAAATATTTATAAGAAACATTGTAAGTACATGATTATATTCATCAGAACCATTCATCTGATAAATAATGAGGTCAAATAGAACTAAACTAACATTCTGATGGTTACAATGTTACAAAAATACTGCATAATTTACTCTCGGATTTTTGCAAGTTTTTCGCAATGTGAAAACATTTTTCATGACAAACTGTCATCAGATAGTACTGGACAGGTGTCCTATTCTAATTCAGCAGTCATCAGATTGTAAAAGAATATATAATGTGTTGATCCAGTACACCCTACACAATTTGTTTAAGTAAATTATGAAGAGATCGTGAACATCAAAAATAAGTGGTTAAAAATCATCTAAATCATGATCACTATTTCTATGGTCTCTCGATATTACATGCTGGCTTAATGGCCTGGAGGTTAGGTGTCCGTCGTGAGACCGAAGGTCATGAGTTTGGCCCCTGATAGGGTCGGGAATACGGATTGCTGAGGAATGCTGTGTTGGGATAGCATATCTGTCTAATTTTTCCACATTTTCGGTGGCTGTCAGTGGTGTAAGCAGCAAAAATTCTGTATTTTGTAATACAACAACCTAAAAGTGACAATTTAAAATTCAGTCATCTTCAGGTAGCTGTTGAAGGTAGTCAACAGAAGACCCTGGATCTAGGTTCCATGCTGTTTGACACTAGTTAGAAGGGTATACCTGTAATCTTTGGGGATCTAATGCTCTCTGGAAGTATTTGATCTCTTGTCACCCAACTTCACATTCAAAGACGTTACCCCCAATTTACATCTCAACATGGTGCATACGATGTCGAGTTACCTGAAGTAATGGCCACATTGCAACTTAATCGATAGAATTCGATCAGCATTAAGATGGACTTGAAAGACATGAAAGTAGTCACTTCTCAGTGATTAATCACTTTTAATTTCAGACAGGCTTTCAGATTAAATTGTAAGGATTATGCTCAAGATTGACGAAGCACAACTTTGTTCCATTCATGGTGCATACAGATCAATGTTTTTCATGACTCATAAGTTTATAAAATATAGTACGTTTTGTCATTAATTGTAGATCTAAATTTGTTAATATCGCTGGCTGATTACGCTAATCCGTATCGAAATAAGATCCATTTTTACCTTGAACTATTCGAGAAAGTTGAATCAGAAAAATTCTCATCGTTTTCAAACCACGAAATCTGATGAACGAAGTATAGAAGTAACGTAAGGAATCAAACTAAGTTATTTGAAAATGTATATTTCCATAGTTTTTATCACAAACTGACCATAGTCACAATACCACGACAAACCAGGAAGCACCAAACATCCGTTCCATCCTATTATAGGTATTCACATTCATTCATATTAAAGACTTGATTTGAATATTAATTATATTGTAACAGTATTCAGTAAAGACTATGCATTAGTCTTTTAAAATTTATCGCAAAACTGTATCCTTATCCCGTCGTTTCCACTAATATTAGTAATCAACACACTACTTCATACTCTGGGGAAACTGTTCACTTAAAATAATGAACTATGACAGCTAAATTTTATTCATTCATCAACATTTATTTAGCACTGTAGAATACAATTAAGCTAAAGTTAGAAATCTTATATAGGGTGAAATACAAGTTCTACATCCCACCATAGTGAACGAGAACACAAATGGGGACAATCGAGTGTATTTGAAAAGAAACTACAAAGCATCTCAATAAAATCTAAGGACTTTACTGTAAATACACTTGGTGTTTTTTACTTCTATCTTCCCATTAATTTTTAAGACTGCAGTTTATCAATCTGTTACAAGGCGATATGTACCAAGTGTTTTTAATTTCACCCCATTGCACACGCGAATGTCTGTCATGACGGGTAGCTGAGTGGAGAACGCGATGGCGTTTGAAGCGAATGGAACTGGGTTCGAGTCCCAGAGTGAACATGAGCTCTGTGACGCAGGTACATCCAGCTGACGAGCTCCAAATAGGACGAAACGCGCGTCCTATCCATCATAGCTTACAACGTTATACTGTAAATAGGTTATTTGCAAAATATCAATCCATCGTTTCAAAGTTGCCTGTTCCTTTTGCAAAAATCAGTCTATCGTCTCAGATTTAATTGTTTATGCATTTTCATACCAATTGCGTTCCGTTTCCGTTCTTTCCTTCTCGAACTTCTACTGAAATACCTTCTATTCCTGGCTACCGTTATATACTGCTTATGTGGATATAAGTAAGCCGCACCACACTACCACTAGATAACGCATAATAATATTAACCAACAGTTTCATCTTTATCAGTGCTAGAATAAAGGAATAAGCACGAAATTCCCAATATAAACAACATATTAGTGGAAGGGCTGTGAAAATAAATTTCCTTTGGGAAAAATGACAGGTGATCTTAATGTATCAAATTAAACCTACATGAAGTAGATACAAAGTTGTATATTTTGACACTTTGAAATTTATTTACATTAGTCAAGTAATTAAGCATAAATGTAGTGAATAATAAATATTTTTTTTCTTACAAGATTTATAATTACAAAGTACAAAGTGTGTATATTGGCTATAATCATATTGTTTATCAAAAGTAAGTTGTTTACGTTATTACGCAATAAAAAAAGGAGAAATATGTGAAAAAAACAACAACCAATAAATCGTACGTTAATTCTATTTATATTTTGAAAACCATATTATGTTTACAATTCTAACCATTATTATTAAACTAAATAAAGACTCCTACATTTAAATCAAGGATTTTTGATAGATCTCTATGATGCTCAGACATAAATGTCTAATAAAGATAGCTTATAAACAATGATAACATTTTTTGAGTAGTTGTCAGATAGTAATTGTGTATGGTATGTTGGATAGATTTCTTGACAACTGATCTCATCCGATAGCATCTTCCCTGTTGTGTTAAATGTGTTTTATAAATTTTACTCAAGTAATTGTTATACCAGATGATTAATGATGACTTTGAAACTGATGAGACGAAATGGAGTGGTGAAAAGTCTGTGATTTGGTACTTTCTGATGAAAGATTACTGGACAGATTTAACGTAGGTTCATTCATTATCATAACCCTCTAGATTTATCCTAATGTTTAGGATTTGATGGTAGCCCAAACCTCCTTTTTTAAAAAACGTGCTGACGTTCTATGTTATTTATTCACTAATATGATTAACAGATCCTTCTCAACCAATCTCATACTGAAAATATGGAGAAAGATAATCCCTATACCTAAGAAACTATCTAGTGATAAGAATGTGAAATTTAGACCCATAGCAATAACTTCATCTTTCATCAAAACAATAGAAAAATTATTGATACTCCCACTCCAACCTGCAATAAAAGAGCACATTGATCCGTATAAGTTTGCTCACAAATGCAAAAGAAGCACCCCAGATGCCGTTGCTGTTCTGCATCACAAGATAGTGTTCAGCTTGGGAAAAGGTAAGAAGTATGTTTGATGCGTTTTTCTGGACTATACTTCTGCCTTTGATTCTATCCCAAGACAACTTTTACCTAACAGGTTAATCAGCGTCAACACTGACATCTGGATAAATAATTGGATATTTTCCTACCTCTCTGGAAGAGGACAGTACGCTGTGTTTGGGGGAAAGGATTTAACGTCTCTGCTGTCTCATGAAGGTGTACCACAAAGAGCCGTTCTTTCACCTCTTCTTTTCGCTTTTTTATGTATGATCTGCCATCTTCCACAGAAAACACTTTTTTGAAATATGCAGATGATCTCACTGCATGAATACTGATTTCTGTCTCTTCAAATTCCAGAGAAATGAATGAGTTTTTGTCTCGTATTGATTGTTGGTCTGTTGGTAATGGTCTCATACTTAATCCGTCTAAATGTCAAGCTGTTAACTTTAGCCTGAGACGTGGACAGCATCTAAACACCATGTTGGGATCCCATAAGGCTTGTGCCATAGGAGACTCTTTGGTAAACACAGTGTCAAAGGTCAATTATCTTGGTGTTACTTTTTTCTCTCATCTCTCTTAGTCTTCTCATGTTTTACTGTTATCTAAGAAAGTTTTTCGTCAGACTTACTACATAAAGAGGCTGCCTGCTTTTGGTATTACTCGACATTTACTCTTGCAACCTGTCAATTCTTGCATATTACTTATTATTCTTTACTGTTCTCCATTTTTTTCCCGGGGTTTTGTATTGCGGAGAATGCTGAAGGCAGTTAGCATGGTATGTGGTGAATCCTTTGAGGTCATTATTAATATGGTTGTGGATAGACATCTAAAGTCTTGCAAACTCAGGGAAAGTGTTATCTTATCAGATACTTACCATCCCCTTAATTCATATCTTTCTCCTTTTATAACTTCTACAATATCATAACTACTAAATATACTCTGTGACGAACAGGTTGTTAGAGTTGACCTAGTCTTAAACCTGTTTCTAATTGAAAAGTTGTACAGACTCAGACCTTTCCTTTCACCTTTTTCTTTTCCCTTTTTCCGTTTTGGTAAAAGAAACTTGTTGAAATACCTCGTACTGAGAATTTTATATTGTACCAAAATATAATATTGAAAAAAGCCATTAATAATTATAATAATATTGACAGCCTGAAGATAAGTACTGAGTGGCTTGAAAACTAAAAGATTTAGTGTAGAATGTAAAGGAAGGTGATAATAATGGACAGTCGTTTTGTGAATGCCCTCCCTGTTGAATCTAAAATATGCTCCCAAACAGAATCGTGTTATTTAAAATGTTTAAAGATCTTAAACCCCTAAACCAGTAAAAAGATCTTACATCTTGATCCCTTGATTAATTTAAATGAAATGAGGGGAATAAGATTTGGAAAATAACATGAATTTATTGTATTTCAAAGATTCTCATAAGCTGCAAACAGCCTAAATTTATACTTGTAGTGTGGTGTATGCCAATCATGTTGACAGATATAAGTATCATGTAGCACTGTTAAGAAATGGAATGCCTGCGAGCAAAAGATTGAGTAGATTGAAATGAAGAGAAGAGAGAAGAAAACGTAAAGCAATTAAAATAACAACAGGAATGAAGGGACGATGAAGTTTGTAAGAGACAACTGAGAGAAAATGTGAAATTTATGTATTTACTGTATGGTTTTCATATCTTACTAACACACTGTAATTTTGCAATAGACATTGAGATGGCTTCCTCCACTTGAGTTTTCATTCACATCAGTAGTACTATTATTGATAAAAAACAGGTATCATTTGACTGATTTCTAGATAATACCAGTTCGTAATGAAAATCACCTCCGAAGTACATCTTAGTAATAATGATGGGAAAACATTAGCTTAATCTCAATTAATATGCAGTATTTGTATAAAATGTTATGTAGGAGAATAACACAATCAGATCACGATAAGTATCCAATAATTTAATTTTTATCTAACCTGTAATTTGCTTGTTACTTTGTAAAATATAAAGATGGTATTGACTGTAGTGAATATAGGTTCTGCTTAAAGATTAGCCTTAATAGTTTGCATACACCAGATTCCGTAGGGTTTTACGGAATATAACTGTATACATCTAATGTAGCCAAGTATTCATTGACGTTATTCTTTTTTACTAAAAAGGCACAACTTTCATACAAATATTCCAAAGTTCAGAACATTCTGGACCGTTCCTTTTTATAGAACACTATTTAATTTCTATGAGCTCTTTGTTTTCCCCGGTATAAGTACTAGATAGATAACGTCATATATGATTTACTCTTAAAGAAGTAATATATTATTGTTATTATTACTCAGTTTAAACGGGTGTAAAAGTGATTCATCAGAATTATAAGCTTTATGAGAAACCTTTAACACTATCTATTAATAACATTTTTCTGGTGGTTAGAAATGACTGAAAAATAATAAACGGATGAATTTATGGTTTAAGTTTTCTGTCTACTGTTACCACTAATTGTTCCTTATGGACGATAACTTTGAATATACATGCTATGACTCAAAAATAAATCTATTGGAAAATTTTCACTGTACTATCTCTCATTCTTAATAATTAGTGTATGACTGATATCATCCATAGATTATATTATCACAAATAATACCATTGAATTGGGCTACTGTTTTTGCTTTTTTTTCATTTGAAAGTAAGAGAAAAGAAAGTATCAACGCTTTTTCACATATAGACATGTGTTTTGTTTCTTCTGTTCCTGATATAAACATCAACATTGGGATGGAGGTACATTCAGTTGATGAGAATGAAACATAAGTCCTCGATTTCATTACCAGATATAATTCATCTATTTCATAAATAAATTCGGTTGGTTGCGAAGATTAGTTTGAGATAAAGTCCCGAAGTTCTAATGATAAGTTCTGACTGATGGAGTTCAAACCTCTTATTTTTTTATTAACTTTCTGAACAAAGACTATGCTGCATTGAGTAGTACATTGTATGCTAACTGTACGATTAAAGTTATACTCTTCAGTTTAACTGTGACCGTCGACACGAATTGGAGTTCTGGAAATGAAATGGTCAATAATGTTTTACTAGGAAAGAGCCATCCAATTTGTATATTTCTAATTGTGTATCTCATGGTATAATAGTAGCAATTAAATTAGGATTCATGCCCAATATCTCATACTAACATTCATGCTATGAAACGAAAAAGCTGAAAAAACCACAATGATTCTTAAACTGATATCAGGTTCCAATGGATACCATATTCCAAATTAAGGTTGAAATTCACTTGATGTTGTTTTATTTGTATCTTCTCACTGTTATTTAGGACTGCAATTGACCAGTCTCATGTTGGCATATGTGCATCCCGTGTGGACTGCCTCGATATAGTCTTAAGTAACCAGCTTTTTAAGCAAAGATGGATAGTGGCTAGCAGTGGAATCCGAGATGCGCGTTTCGTCCTGTTTGCGACTTGTCAGCTGGATGTACCTGCATCGCAGAGTTGATGCCCACTCCGGGATTCGAACCTAGTACCGTTCGCTTCAAACGCCATTGCGTTATCCACTTAGCTACTAAGTCATGATAGCAAACTGCTTTTACAATGGGGTGAAGTTTAAATTCACTTAGTGTTGTTTTAGTTGTATCTTCCCATTGTTATTTAGGACATCCAGTTGATGAGTCCCAAATAGGACGAAACGCGCGTCCTGGATTCCACTGCTAGCTACTATCTATCTTTGTTTCAAATTAAGGATTTTTTATAAAATTGAGATCAAGAAACGATTAGATTTCATGGTTCGTTTCTTAATGTTTTTTATTCATAACTTTTTAAAATAAAAAATAAAACGATTTTTCTTATATAAATCACAAACGATAAATTTAAATGACCAGTGATATAAAAGGACAAACAGAAAAGATGGTGTATGTGTTTATTTGTTTAAAAAACTCAAATCAATATTCAACATTTCTTAATCCCTTTATTGTGAATGGTTCAATAATTAAACAGTAACTGGGACAATGATTAGTTCACTAAGTAAACTATAAATTTGTATGATAGAAAATACTAGAAAATAAAAATTGTTCGATCATTGAAAAGTCAATAATAACGACACTACTGCTCTTGCATCTGCTTTTGATGACGATGATAACTTCGTAAACAATGGAGAAAAATTAATGATGACAATGGTTATCAAAATTATGTAAATACAGTTTTTAAATTTACTGTAACCACTAACAAAATGAAGTGATTATATGGGAACATTCGATATTATTTAGTAACATTATGTTTTAAAAAAATTGATTTCTTTGTTGTGTATTAGTTCTTCATTATTTTATAAATAATGGTAATAATAATCAAAGACATGTTGTTTCTACTAACATTCTGGTGACCATGTATGGATCACAATTGGATGATGGACGTCTATCTTCCAAATAACCACAACCATTTTCAGCAACTTGTCTTGGAATACGTATACTACTGCCTCTATTTGCAACACCTATATAAGACGAAATAGGAAAGAGTAGAAGAAAGATGTTTATAATTGTGTTTATAATTATGTTACAGGAAACTCATAAGAAATGGAGTCGAAATAAAGTAGTGTATGAAAAACGACAGTGAGCCGTGGTCTTTAGGTCATGAACAACTGTTACTCCGAGATTATAACAAAATACGACTAAAGTCATTTACGTCTCCCATTCCGTATATTAGGGGGGTTGCAAGCCTGCTTGGTAGGCCATGGCAACATTGAACTCAAATATTATGACAGCGTAGCCATTTAATTTAACTAGCACTGTCTCCGTTAGCGAAAACTAGGCCCAGGACAAAAGGAGAGTGTTGTATTTCATATTCAATGGGTTCTATAGTGCACTGGACTAAAGTTAATGAGTATGTAGTTTCCAGCAATTTGTAATCAAACGGGTTTGTTAATAATTCCGCCTTTAATTCAACCCAAGTCAGCTGCCAAAGGTTTCTGTACTTGATTGACTAGAAATACAGTTTATAAAATGAAAATCGTCTGCTGCGGATTGAGGGCCATGATACACAAAACTAGTTCGATATATGCTCCTCTACATTTTACTCGAGACTGCATTAATTCGCACGTGTCTAAATCGTATACCGCGGTCTCGGCAATTCGAATACTTAAGGCGTTCTTCAAACACAGGACAACACCATCTCCTCTATGGCTTATTCTGTTGGTTCTACAAAGTAAAAAACTAAACGAGTGAATTTCGCTATCATTTACTTTTGACATTAGCCAAATATATGAAATGAAGAAGATATCAAAATTTTGTGTTTCCATTGTTTGTGAGCTCTGTTATTTCATTCAGCAGTCTGGAAATGTTTGTTTAACAAACCGTTATTTCTGTGGAGTACTTTCCAGTACCACTTAGAGTGGTTTAAGGATCCGTTTGCTCCCGACTTTGTCGATTCAAAGACTCTTTAGTTTAAGGTTTTCACCACCACTTTGACGATATCCGTTTATTTCTATTCCTGTAGATCGTCTCTTATTGAGATAAGCCAGCCAGAAGTCGGAGTGGACCTAAAGATTAGATAAACGCAGTTTGTAGAGGATTCTTTAATAGACTTTACTCCTCAGTGGATGCCAAATGAACTTTAAAAATTCGTCTTGCCTGAAGACTTTCTGAATACAATTTCTATCTTATTCTGAGTAATTTGCGTATGCTAACTCCCTTTATTGTATCCGGAATTAGCTTGAATGTTAGGTATTTATTGTAGTTCAGGTTGCCTTTAAACTTACCTTTGGATCTTTTTCGGGATTGTTTCAGCTTATGCAACATGACTGACTCCTTTGAGAAATATGATTTAGTACTGAGAACCGGGATTCCTTAGCTCAAACCCTTTTCTCCTTTGCAAACTGGTTTGATAACAGATGACTGGGTTTCATATTTTCTTCTCCTAGTTGCTTTTAACCATTCATTGACCTTACCATGTTTCTTTAAAGAGTCTCCTGCGTCGCATGGGCTATGCTAATGCATGGTTTTCACTGGATTGCTGTTGTATTACACCCTTTTTCTCTGGGCGTTTGATATTTTCCCTAAAAGCCTTCCGTAAATTGGTAGATTAATCGTTCTCTATGTTCTAGAAGTGTTTTACTATGGTTCTATCTGGATCTGAAGCTGGATTGATAGTGATGCTCAATATATTCTCCAGATCGATCAGTTTTCTGTAACTTACTATTCATCTGTGAGAAGTTTCCTAGCTAGATTCATTAGCTCTATTACTTCAAGTATCAACAGAAACGTTATAGGACAGTGTATTTTGTACAATCATTATGGTTGTGATTTGCAACAATTCTTATACAAGTTCAGGGGAAATCTAGTGCAAACATGAGGATACCAATTGTTACAGTTTTCACATTGCTTCCCATACTCGACAAAATAGAGGCGTCTTCGTCTACCACAACAACGTTTAGTCTGGACTGTTGTGTTAAGGAAGTGGACAAAGGCAGAAAAAAGTATTGGTAGAACCCGAAAAGAATAAGCACTGAATTTTAAAGAAAATCTATCGTGTGAGAAAACAATTACACAAGTGAACCGTCTGGCCCATGAAGTGCAAATCAGTGCACTCACAAAATGGATTTAAATAAAAACATAAAACAGATATTAATATAAAAACTAATACTCATATAATTTAACTGAAAATTTAATTCAGTATGAAACAATTCAAACTACATAATTTACACAGAAAGGAAAAATATTTCTGCCCTTTTAGAACAGGGTGAATATTCGAGGATAATATCACTAACCCTTATATGAAGAATTTTACACGAAGCCGGGTACACGAGTGTGTACTTACTAACCGAATTGGATGATATAGCTATTTAATCTCAATTGAAGTATAAACAGGCTTAATCTATATGGTCTATCAACCAATAAGTTCGACAATATCCTAAACTGTGTATATTTTTGAGCGGTAAAGTCAGTTGAGTGGAGTTTAAAATGATACTAACGTGATGCTGATAATCATCATCAGAATACTGAAGGAAATGATAGAACTTCATGGTTGGATGTGTAAATTAAACATAATATGTGTAAGACAATCGAATATGTTATTTATCTACCCACATGAAACAAACTTCTTGTCACTATTTCGATTTTTTCAATAGAGTTAATGAGTGAAAATTGAATCAAATAATTTTTAAAAAAACGATCGACAATTCGTCTCACAGCTGGAACAATGAACGGTTAATCCTATCCAGAATGTGATCAGGCTTTATTATGATTGGTTATTTAGGGATTTGTAGAAATCAATAAAGCATAGTAAAGTAGTTAGTAAAAAGTTACCATAGAACTACTGATTGCAAATTATTTATAAGAAGTTTTTCTTAAGTCAATAATTATTCTAGGTCTATAACATAACTCCAGTCATTAGTGAATCTATAAAACTGAAGGTTGATTTTACAACCGCATTTAAGTTTTATAAGCAAAGATGGATAGTGGCTAGCAGTGGAATCCAGGACGCGCGTTTCGTCCTGTTTGGGACTCGTAAACACGTGAACAGTATGCACATATGCCAATAAGAGACTGATCAATTTCAGTCCAAAAACATCAATGGGAAAATTCAAGTAAAACAATATCAAGTGAATTCGCATTTAAGTTTGTTTATAAAATTCTCAGTGTTAAGGAGAGATCAACATTTATTTCATTTCTATCAATAATTCTGAAACTAAACACAGATTACCGTTTATGATATTTTTTCATTATAACTAGTCTTAGTCCCATTTAAACATTAAAAACATAAAGTTCAGCAAAGGGATCTCTTTTCAACGAATTTATTATCAAGGCGTACAATCGTATACATATGAAAATTTCTTTTATTAAAGTACTAGTTCCAGAAAGAGAAATCTCATTCACTCTTCATGTCATCGAATACATCGGATATGTAGTATGGAATGAAGAACTCCCATTCCTATCGTCCTATCGTTATCGTTACCTTGGCCCTTTACTTATGTCTCATATTCTCATTATTTTATTCATAAACGATCATCATATCACTTTATTTGTTTTTTACACATCTATGACCTTTAATGACCTTTGATTATTGTAACAAAAACATTTTAATCATCTTAATACATTCACGTTACAATTCGTTACTAACTTATTAAGTCTATCGTTATTATTCGTATTACGTAATCTAGTATTATAATCTTTCTATTACGTCATCTTGGTTATTCGTGTTCACAATTCCTCACGGAACTAGTACTTTAACAAAAACGTTATATATATATATATATATATATATATATATATATATATATATATATATATATATATATATATATATATATATATATATATATATATGATTGTACAGCTAGATAATAAATTCGTTGAAAAGAGGTCCCTTCGCTGAACTTTGTGCTTTTAACAGATTTCGTCTGTATATTGTAAACTTTAAATACTATGTACATGGTGATATCATCTGTTGCTTGAAAAAGTTGTAGAACATTAAGAACAAAATCTCTTTGGAGATACTAACTTACCAGATGAAAAATCATTAATACTGCTTGTTTCATGACTACCAGTCAAACGTCTTTGATTGTCTAAACCATGTTTAGGATCATAGCATTGAATGTGTTCCATGTGTTTATGTGATAGTTTTTCAATAGCATCTTCTATTGCTCTAAATAAAACAATAATAGTTATAATACCAGTGTGATTTTCTTATAATAATTTATTCATTTCTATTCATTGTAATTTTTTAAATGTTTATAATAATGAAACGTGAAATTTTTAGGCATTCTGATACTTTTTCGTGAAAACTTGTAGTGTGCTGTGAAAACACATTATCTTTGTTATAGGTATCATTACGAAGGTTTGACTTGATAATTTCGAATGAACTGATCATTCGGTAGATTGTTATAAATAAATTAATATAATTCTAATATCTTAATGAGTAGAAAAATTAAATTTTCTGACGTTTCGTGACTTGGATTAATTGTGACTTAATTATATATTCTCTGTAGAAGTGGCTTACACTGAGTCACGAAACGTCAGAAAATCCAATTTTTTTACACATTGGGATATTACAAATATATTTATTTATTTATTATCTATGTTACTAGTAAGTCTACTTGTTTCAGGGATCTAGAATCAATAATGCTAGATGAAACAAACACGATATGTATTTCTTGTTTGCCGAAGATAACTCTCTCACTTTAAATGTAATCAAACCAATATACTGCTATTTTCAAACTCTATATTTCTGAAGGTAATCAAAGAGTGAACCGTTATGTGTGTAATTTATTCACTGTGTGAAGCTTTTTTTGGTTAGACCAAAAAAGCATTTTGATAGACGGTTTGAATTTAGTGATAACTAATTTTACCAGTCAGAAACTAGAGAGTACTGAAGTGGTAATATTTTCATCTAAGTCCTACTTCCGACGTATATCATCAATTTCATAGGATTATTGAGGTGATTAGTGACTTGTTAACAGATGGATTTAATAAAATTTGCTTAGAAACACTATGAGTTGGGACTAACTAGTAGAATAAGACATCAAGCAAATTACGTTATTAATTGACTGAAGTTGAAAACTAAGCATTCACCGACTAAATGGTAGCTAAGGACCTGTACAAAATGAAGGAAATGAAAATCGGAATGAAATATTTAGTTACACTCCTCAGAATTTTGCTAGTACTAGTAAATTTCGATCAATGATCGAAATGTTTGTTTAGACGACACTTTATTGGATGATACACTATTTTAATTGAATATTTTAAGAACATTCCTAATGCATACACTTCAATCACATTGATTACTAAACTAATGATCCCTATTTGACTCAAGTTGTACTTTTATAAAATATCCATCGTTGGTCTTTTGAAATAGGTCAGGTCACGTGATAGAAAGAAACGACCTTCACCTTCCAAAAGCATGTAATTAGTTCCTTTGTTTAAATAATAACCATAACTGGAAATATATTTCATTAGCTTCATGATTTACATTTGGGAAAAATTAAGCTGATAAGTGCTTTAAATCAGTTAGACACTTTGGTGAATTAGGGTGGTGTGATGAGACGACTAAGATGGTCAGAAATACGTAATATATTGTTGACTCAATATATTCTCTTGTTAAGATATTTATATATGAACCACATGTAAACTATTCTGGTAATAATGGCTTATTATTTAAGGCGGTATGATTCGTAATGTGTTTCAGTAGTATCTTTGTTTTTGTTATCTTCTCATTTATCTAGTTCGACAAGAATTTTCTAGTTTTGGTGTGAAAATCAACACGTAAGTGGAGATAGATCCAGGTGACGAGTCCAACATAGGATGGAACGTACGTCCTAGCTTCCGCTTTTAGCAAATATCTAGCTCCGTTTAAATAATGTCTATTTAGCAAGGTTAAGGTCGTTACTTTAGGTCACAAGACCCTCCCTATTTTACCAGATAAATGATAAATACTATGGAAAAGCACAGCCCCAGTCATTACACATTTAAATAATGTCAGTATTTTAGTTTTAATTCATACATTGGTTGTTCGGATCCTCCCGTTAATGTTTACGACTGCAATTGATCAGTCTCTTTTAGAATATGTGCATCCTGTGCGGATTACCTCAATATTGCAGGTACATTCAACTGACGAGTCCTACATAGGGCGAAACGCGCGTCATGGATTCAGTTGTTAGCCACCGTCCATCTCTGCTTGAGATAACAGTTTTATATGAAATGATCGTATTTCTAAATTGTTGACTTTTAATTCTATTGTTGAAATTCATGTAATCAAAAACTGGATATTGTTTAATTTGTTATACATGAAACAGTTGTTAATAACATTTTTTCTTTAAAACATGTGACGTTAAACGAAATCCATTGTGATGCCAATTCAGTCATTGGTCATATTGTAAACTCATTTACCAGTGTCACTAACGTCTAGAAAAAATAAAATTGGCTGTTATCCAATATCTGGCCAGTAATTATGATTTCTTCGTCACATGATAATCACATGTTTTGCTGATGAAGTGATGTGTGAACAATATGCGAGATATTTAAATTATTAAATGGCGATCTCAACCAGTCATGCCAACGATGAAATAGAGAAGCATTACATACAGGCCCATGTTGAGTTATTTAAATAATTTAGTCATTAAAATGTTTTCTCCTTTAAAGAAAATATACTTTCGAATTAGCGAACTGATAAATAACAGTATTCGTTATTTCACTAATTTAGTATACCATATTAGTAAAAAGTAGCAACATGGAGTTATTTCATGAAGTACTAAATTGGAAGAAAGCAATATTTAAGATTGTAGACTGATAAAATAATTGTTTTTCTACTTTGGATCTTAAAACAAACTTCTTCATGGTAGTGATTTCATGAAATAGTTTGTCATGCTATTAAACTATTCAACGGCAATCCGTCTACCATTGTTTACTGTATTTTTATGTAGACAATGTTGAAAGTGTCACTCAATTTCGTGGATTAGTTGTAGTTAGATATTAACAACATTGGATACTGGCCAGCTCAGAGGTCTAGAGATTAAGTGTTCGCGCGCGAGACCGACAGATCCTGGGCTCGAATCTCGCGAGGCAGGATCATGGTTTCACTCTGCTGGAGAGTCCCACAACAGGGCGAAATGGCCGCCCAGTGCTTCCAGGTTTTCCATGATGGTCTAGCTTCAATTGACTCATGGACTCAACTATTGGAATTACAAATTTAATATTAATCAGAATATGATTTTCATTTAGATGAGTAAACATTTTGTGAAAATTGTAATCTTTTAGAAGTTTGTTTATTATTAGTCTTATGACAAAACATTTATTCATCTTATCAAAAGTTAATGAAATGGTATATTCAGTTAGAATAATTCACTGGATATACGTCAATAACAAAATAAAAAGCTTTCAGTTAGTTGAATTAAGAAGACGATTTAATTATCTTGATAGTGTACTTTTAGATGTGACTACTAAGTTCATTTATCATATTCCTTAATAATGAGTACAAGGTAAATAAATTTCATTTACCGATAGAAGTAAAAATTAATTTCCTTAAAATATCATACCTTGTTAACTAGTTTCATCTGAAAAAAATACATTCAAGTACAGACTTAAAAATAAATATCTTTCTTACTGTAAACCTGATTTTGGATCCCTCATAGCCTGAGTTGAATAGTTTGTATGCGCTCCTGAACCATTCCAGTTACCAGGCATTGGTTTCGGGTCTAGTGACACAATCACTCCGAAGTCTTCAGCTACACGATGTAATATAAATCTAGCCATCCATAAATGATCACCGGCTGAGACACCTTCACATGGTCCAACTTGAAATTCCCACTATGAAAGTTAAACACATGGGATATAACGTTCACTGTAAAATTTGTTTGGTTTTCCAACACTGGATAATTACTTAGAAGTCATGATAAAAATAGAAGTAATAGTGAGGTATCAATTTAAATAGCTTGTTCGTCAAAACTGACTTATCATTTTAGTATCACAAATCACCAGTGGGTGATAGCTATCATAGCTCGGTGGTTTAATGAACAAGGATTTAGCATTTAAAGTGGTGTGTTTGTAGTGAACGAAATCGAACAACAACATCCTTTGGGAGGCAGTCACACAGAATTATTACTTTACAAACACGAAGAAATCTTTTTCCATGTTTCAATTAGTAGACACTGATTAAAGGACTGTCAGTGGCAAACTTTGAAAATGTGGTAAAAATTAACTACATTAATAACTTTAGTGTAGAATGTAATAACACGAACAGCTACTTATTGTAATTTATTGTAATGAAAACTCATATTTAAGGTCATTTTATACTGGCACATTAAAAATAGCCATTAGATTTTAATGACTCTTAAGGTCTGGATTTGTATAAAACACTTGATACCACTCTTCTATAATTTACTAAATCAGTGTTAAATACTGCTTTATGGAACTTCCCCATTGATGATGAAACTGAAGGTAAGTTATAAGTCAAGATATCGAAAACAAGTAGAATATTTCAACCGTATTAGTTACTTTCATCAAGGCTTAACTTGATTACACTTTTGTAAATGGATAATTTTCTTTGTCCAACTGGTGGTCCTGTTACTTCTTTTTTAACCTTGACATCACGAACAGCATGTCCTACAAATGCGGTGTCATTACTTGTGAACGTAATTGTTACAAACAATGTGAAACCACAAAAATCCTATTGTTTAGATTAAATAAAATACACTGTAGTGTGTTTAATATTATTTGAAAAATTTTGGTGAGTATTGCATGAATATAGTTAGCATACAATGGATACTATTTTAGGTTTTTCACTAATGAAATGGACAATAAATAACACTAAATATATTATGAAGTACACAGTGTAATAATCGTTTTATTCACTGGGTTCTTTTTGTTAAATGAATATTAAAACAAATAAAGTCTCAAAAAAGATGAATTTATCGAAGAATAAAAATGGTTATGGGTCCATTCTTCTTCTTCTTCTTCTTCTTATTATTATTATTATTATTATTATTATTGTTATTATTATTAATGGCTTTATTCAATATTATATTTTGGTACAATATAGAATTCTCAGCACAGGGTATTTCAACAAGTTTCTAACACAAAAAAACAAAAACAAAAAGGGGAAAAGGGTTTGTAATCTTATATTGTTATATGTTACCGAATCACGGAAATTATGGAGTACTTAGTGACTATTTTATCATGGTTTGCAATTCGGTAACAGTGCAGACTCACAATAACAATATACGTATATGTATACAATATATTACAATGAAATGTACAACTGAATTTAAAATATTTAAGTCTTTTATTGAATATATAACATGTTTAATTTTAACTCATTTACAACTTAATCTTATCTTCATCATTAGGTTACACTTAGTTGACTTTTTAAATCACGTAGTTATATAGCTCGAACTTTAACAAAATCCATTTTAAAGTTAGTCATTATTGGGTATACAATTACGATTTATCATTGTGTCATGTTAAGATAACTGCCATTTGAAAATAATTTTTATAATGAACTGATGTTATCTATTCACTTCTTATTGGTTTTTAGTAGTTTTTTAGCTGTTAACCCATGATGAAATGTATTTTTGTAAACTTCTTAACCAAATAATATAATTTGCTGTTTATCATTTAAACCAATTTTATTCATTGGGAAATACAATTAATTACGATCGTATAATGTATCGTATCAGGTTTTGAACTAAAAAATTTAAACATTATTATCCATCTTAACACTAATTTATAGCTGATCAATGACTTCCTATAGGGTGAATTTATTGAAGTTATAGGACACTGTATGATGTCAATCTAATCAAGAATCAAGAAATCTAACTCCTGATAATATCGGATAACGGCAGGTCTACATGAGAAATCTTAAACTAAAAGAAGTGGCTTATAACTAGTGTCTGTCTATAAATGAAAAAAAATCATTTAACTGAATACATATTTTTTTTGTTCAAATAGTAATGATAATAACATTTATTAAATAAGTTCTTACTTGTGATGGCATAACTTCTGCATTGCTACCACAAATTTTAACTCCTGCATACATGCATGCTCTGTATAAAGCTTCTGGTATATCACGACCAAGTGCTTTACCAGCTCCAACAGAACAATAATAAGGTCCTAAGAAATTTGGGAGGGATAATTCATACAATGTGAAAGAAATTTGTAAACTAGCGTACATGGTTAAACATTTATTGAGAGTTCATTCATCTTATATTCAGTTGAGTGCAAGCAACTAGTGGGTCACATTTAACTCTTAGGATTTAATGAGCAACAGAAAGAAGAATACTTCAATTAGGTCACAACTGTCATTAGTTTTTAGAAAAATAAATATATCTGAAACAAACCAAGAGACAGTTTGAATTTCGCCACAATGTTGAGATATTTCTATCTAGTTGAGCACAAAACTGATTATATGGATTTCACTATTCTACCTCAAACATAAATGATGTAATAGAATGTTAAAAAATGGATCAATTTACTAGTTTTAACATTTTTTTATCAAAGAAAAATTGTCATAGCGATATTTTTTTAACTGATAGCTCTGAATTATCATATAATCATACCTCTGAAAGTTTAGCTTAACTAAGATTATTATAAAGCTATTGACAGTTTTACAAGAAAATAAGTAAGAAACTGAAAGTTTCCTAAATTTTACGTATGTAAATCATGACACTTCAAATCCAACAACATATGTATTAATAACTGAAATACTAACAAAAAAGTAAGCAACTGATCAGCTTTTATTAACATAGATTGATATGTTAAAATTAATACTAAACTACTGGAATTTATCGACTTCATTATCTGCAAATAATATTGAATGTTTTAATCAGGAGTCATATATTTTGAGGGACTGTTTATGAGTAATAAATTCAATGAATTAGTTACTTAATTTATTTAATGAAAGATATTTTGTGAAGTATGTTTTATTATTATTATTATTATTATTATTATTATTATTATTATTATTATTATTATTAGATCTCGATCTATAAATCAACCTTCTGAAGATTTAACTGTCAATAGAGATATAATCTATCGGCCAACACCAAAGTCAGAATGTTCAATACAAATGTCAAAACAGTTCTACTGTATGGGGTGGAAACCTGGAGAACTACGAAAGCCATCATCCAGAAGATACAAGTGTTTATTAACAGCTGTCTACGCAAAATACTTCGGATCCGTTGGACAGACACCATCAACAACAACCAGATCCCAGCGGAGGAAGAAATCAGGAAGAAGCGCTGGAAGTGGATAGGACACAAATTGAGGAAAGCACCCAACTGCGTCACAAGACAAGCCCTCACATGGAATCCTCAAGGTCAAAGGGGAAGAGGAAGACCAAAGAACACATTACTCTGAGAAATGGAGAGAGACATGAGAAGAATGAACAAGAATTGGATGGAATTAGAAAAGAAGGCCCAGGACAGAGTGGATTGGAGAATGCTGGTCGGCGGCTTATGCTCCATTGGGAGTAACAGGAGTAAGTAAGCAAGTAAGAGATATTACCATTTATAAGTCAAGTTGAATGGATATACTTTATCGAGAAACAGTATAGTTATGTTTCCAAACGTTCTCCCAAGCGATATAAACTCAATAAATAAACTTGAATAATTTACAAAGAATTATTACAATAAGGCGGAAATAACTGAGGGAAGAAAGAAAGTTTTATTCATCTAACTAAATCAAGTAATATTAGCATTGAAGCACAGCTCTGTTATGATTCTTTAAAGTGAGCACGAAAACAACCGATGAAGTAATATTCAACTCAATAAGGTTACTATTTATGTTGATCAAGAATTGAAATTTCAAAAATACAATTCGGCTAATTTTATGCCTAAAATTATGCGTTATATACATTGTTGAAAAGATATTCATGAATGATGAATTCGTATAAAAGACTACATATGATCAATATTCATGTTTACTTTCGTTTCTTTTCCGTTAATTTTGATTTTATACTCTATTTAAGAACATAGTTATTTCAAGTAATTAAGTAGTAAACACTTCAATTATTTTCTACTGATTATTTTTTTATCATTAGCTCGAATTTTTTACAACCCTCAGGATCGATGTTCAAATGAAGTAATTAATCTGTGAAATAATAGTTTCTCAGGTATTTCAATGAGTTATCACTCAGTTGCCTTCTCTATTGAATTAAGATCCATTTGAATGATACTGTTAGTTGTAGCCTGCTGCTGTAAGCCTCGACATTTGGTTTCGTTTATTAATTTGTATATTAGGCTGGTTTATTCAAATATTTTGATTCACAATATCAGTACATTATTATGTATCCAGTTAACCTTAACCATTTTTCAACTGATGATGCTCAAACGAAATTTAATCATCTAACATCTTACAACAATGTTACTGTACAGCTTTAGGTCGGAGTTGCAATATGAAAAGACTATTTTAATTAGGTGATAGTGATGAAGTTAACTGTCACACAGACAGAATGACTTTCACTAGAAGAGTATAAACTCACATAGTATGGAATGTCTAAGACAATTTACCAGGTTCAACTATTTTAATGCAATTGTAAACAGATTAAATTATGAAATAGTTTTGACAAAAAGTGGAAACTTATAAGTTAACTTACCTTGAGGTGGAGGAAAACCATTTTTAGGCCATTGTAATGGATAACCATCAATGTCTAATAGAGCATATTCTTGTTCGATACCGAACCATGGTTGGTGAGATTTTGCTTTCTCCATGACAAGATTACAAAGATAACGATGATTTGAAACTAAAAAAAAGTGGAATGTAAAACAAAGTGAAAGACACAAAGAAAAGGTGAACGTACATCAGTTGCATGAGTTTTCTTTAGCCAGTAGCAAATAATTTTCAAAAGTCTTTTTCACTATCTTGCTAGACATAAAGAAATAAAAATTTTTCCTTATAAAAGTTGAAATCATCAAATTGTCAATTCGGATCACTGAAATGGTCAATCTTTGAACTAGGTAGTATACACTTAAGCTGACTATGATCGAATTCGCAGTCATACAGATTATGGTAATCTAATCAGAATAGTAGTACAGTTTTTCATCACAAATTTTTACTAACTGCCTACCTAAATAGTATTAGTATGATAGCAATAACAGTAGTGACTAGTTTCTTAATTAATTCAAGCAAGTTAAAAAATGAAACAGTAGCCTGCTAATGTCATTGGATGACAATTGAACTAAATCATCAATTTTTCCGAAGTTGGGAATGTAAATCATTCGATTCTAATTCACAGAGGCTAGATTTTATTTTCTTGTAGTGTTTATTTTGAGTTCGATTGTGTTGACTATCGTGTGTATGTGTGTATCATTCGAAAAATTCCACTCATAGATATAGTAATAAAAGAATAGAGTGAATGATGAACTGAGAAGCATTATTTCTTTGTTCTATTTACCTATTCTGAAAATGGTAAGCTAGGTTAAAATAACTTCCTTCCTTTCAGCTAATTTATAATCAGGCTCTCCAGTTATAAATTCGAATATGATAGTCATTTATGAATCAAATATATATTTCAAAAATTAAAGACTATGAATTTAAGATCGTTTGTAAAATAAATAAAATTGCTCATGCAGAAAAGACTAGTATGTACTGTTAACTTGAATAAATTATTACTTACTTGCGCCTGTCACCTCTCATGGAGGAACATAGGCTGCCCACCAGCACTCCCCATCCAACCCTGTCCTGGGCAATCATTTCCAGTTGCTATTTATCATTTTCATGTCTGCTCTCAATTCCCGACTCCATGTGTTCTTCGACCTTCCTCTTTTCCGTTTCCCTCCAGAATTCCAAGTTAGCGATTCCCTCGTGATTCACTTTGGTGATTTCCGTAATGTATGACCTATCCACTTCCATCGTCTTTTCCTAATTTCCTCTTCAGGTGGAAGCCGGTTTGTTTTCTCCCATAGTAGACTTTTACTGATGTTATCCGGTCAACAGACATTCAGCATCTTTCGTAGACAACTGTTTTTAAATATCTGTACTTTTTTGATGATGGTTGTAGTCGTTCTCCGAATCTCATCCCTGTACAGTAGAACTGTCCTACCGTTCGTATTGAAGATTCTCACTTTGATATTAGTTGACAATTGTTGGAATACGGCCCCTGCTTTACCAATCCTTGCATTTACGTCTGCATCCGATCCTCCTTGTTCATCTATGGTGCTTCCCAGATACGTGAATTTTTCCACGTGTTCCAGAGTTGCCATCAAGTGTGATTGGGTTGGTGTTCTCCTTGTTGTATTTGAGGATTTTGCTTTTCCATTGTGTATGTTGAAGATCACTGCTGCATAAACTTCTGCTACACTGGCTGTCTTCGCCTGATTTTGTTTTTGTGTATGGGATAGAAGAACTGGGTGATCTGCGAAGTCTAAATCGTCTAGTTGCGTCCAAGCTGTCTGTTGTATTCCGTGCTTTCCATTAGATGTGAAGGGCTTCATAATCCAGTCAACCACCAGAAGAAAGAGGAAGTGCGAGAGTAGACAGTCTTGTTTGACACCAGTCTCCATTTGGAGTGCATCTTTCAGCTGTCTTCTATGCACCACTTTGCACTGTAGTCCGTTGTATGAATTCCGGATGATGTTGACGATCTCCTCAGGTACACAAAGGTGTCGAGGAAGTTTCCATAAGGTCCTCCTATCCACACTGTCAAACGTCTTCTCATAGTCAATGAATATATTATTGGAAAGAATATTTTTCATTCACTTTATATCTTTGTTTTAACAAAATCGGAACTTTAAGACAACTAAACAAGTTGGATCATAATTTCTACTCTCAATATGAACCGCTAAGAAAGAAGACAGTTTATTAGCCTAGATTAATCCTTTATAGGATACAGAATTATTCCGCCATTTATATAGATAGATATCGAATGCTAAGATATAGAAATATGGTCTAAATCTATCAAATCAGTCATTTGTTTGTCTGATTTTCATCAAGAAGTATAGTCTTTTTCTTCCTTAAATTAAAAGTCAGTAACTGGCATCTTTAAATGACAAAATTCACAATCACGATGATGGATATACATTCAATTTGTTTTATACCTTTCTTTAACTTCTAGACATTTTATTATCTAATATCAGTTTCCTTTTTGTTTGTTCATGCTTTCCCTACTTCTTTTTACCTCCCTCTTCTTCATTTGAAAGTTGTTTTATCTAAAAACCTACACTATTGTACTATTCGACTTTTCCTACTTTCCGTCTGTCTATATATCTATCTATATAGTAAAATATAATTAAATTCGATACTATTGATGGGAAAATATGTAATAAAGTGTTAATGTACTTTAAAATGAGATTAATGGGATTTAGAAAAAGTTGATTATGACAGAATTCTAGTTGCTGAATTTCAAGGCCTAATGCTTTTAAGCATCCCAACCGTTATTCTTACATAAGTATGTTCTTTTGAAAATATGTTTACCCATAGATCAGCTGGAAGAACATGGAAAAACAGGGAGTACGAAACAATTGTCTATGCCTACTTATAATAGATGGATTGTAGTTAAAAGTGGAATACAGGACTCGTCAGCTGAATGCATCTACGTCTCAGTGTTAATGTTTGTATTGAGACTGAAACCTTGTACCTTATGCCCACGAATTTCAACAACGAAATAACTCGATCCTTCACTAATAACGTCTATTCCTGGTTTGAGACTGTCTGGCAGTGCACATTCATACTCCTGAAAGCAGCCACAGTCAGGATCTCTATATCTTGCGAGAAAAGGATATTCCATGTAGACGATCGAAATCCATTTTAAAACAACTCAGTCTCTTAATTTGGGAGAAATTCTCATCAGTACTAGGTAAATTTTCGGGAAGATGCAATAGAAAATTTTGAGATTCTCTCCAAAGTCATATGAAAATTCATAGTTTTCCACAAAGTCCGGAGAACTATTGGGGAAGATCTAAAAGTTCTCAGAAAATCCGGAGATCGGGTAATCACATATATAGATTATTTAGTATAAAACTGATAAATTGATAACATTAATAATATAACTTGATTTCCAACAGTAATTCACATTTTTTATGATCATGAATCTCATTCATTAATAGAAAATTGAGCTTTTAGTTTAACCTAGAAACAAAGGCAATCGATTCGTTCTTCATGATTTATAAATTGCAAACTTAGTAGCATTCTGGTTATTAATCCATATACCCAAGTACCTTGACTTTACCTCTTGTCATCTGATACCGAAGTGAATTCGTCGTATAATTTGTAAATACAGTGCTGAACAGTAAAGGTTTAAATCTTTGAGTTCAAACATTTTCAACATTTTCTCTCATATACACTTGCAACTAACATATTTGTCATTGTACTATTATTATTTTTCATTAGAGTACTGGCTTCTTAATTGAAGAACTGGGCTTTTAAATTCTACTTAATTTGGTCTGGATAAGTGGCTAGTAACAATAGCTCACGTACAAAGTGACTTAATCCTGAATACATTAATATATACATGACAAATAAATTATATTAAATTAATTACTATCATTACTAATATTGGTATACACTGTATAATCTATTGGGACATTTGTACATCATCTCACATTATAACGTATTATAGTAATAAAAAGATGAGTAAAAATATTCGCAGTACAACAATAAGAAGCTATCAAGCAAAATTCTTACCATGTGGTTTCTTATCGTAATTATAAGTTTCACATAAGACTAATTTATTTTTGCCACCACGAAATGGATCACGGAACATTGCACACGGTTTTAAATAAACATCAGAATTAGAACCTTCAGCTTGACCCGTACTACTTCCATCAAAATTCCATATTGGACAGTCTGTTTTTTTTTTATTAAAAGGAAATATATAGAATAAGAGATAAAAACAAACAAACACTGAATTCATTTGAATTGATTTCTCCACATAAGTATTACACTGGCAAAACGAATAAAATTTGATCTTAAAGAATTTTAAAACAATGTAATTAGAAGGTTGAAAACTGAGTTCATTCACAAGTTCATTCATTAATTCTGTTTAGTTTATAAAAAAAACAGCTAAATTAAAAATGCATATTTAAGTTACAAAATACATTATAGATAATAAGTTAGTCATCAAAACTTAGTGACGATTAATATAATTAAAATAAACCATAATGCCATTGAATAAGAAAAAGAGAATCCAGCGAAGAAAATTTTCTTTTCGAGGAAATCATTTACTTAGTCTACAGAGTCAAAGGAACTGGATCGAAGGGGGGGGGTCGAATCAATATTTTATGCACTGCTGAGACATTGGTAATCCATGAACTCGGGCCTGAACTTTATGTGCAGAAACGATTTGTCCAACCTCTCATCCTTCCTTGGCCCTTATTTCTTTAATGCGTACGTCTCTGGGTTGATTTTTTCTGCACTTTTATTTGATTATTATTGAATTTTCTAAACTACTGTTTTGCATTTTAATCTCCAATCCGTTATTATCATTATTACTACCTTATGCAAGTTTAGTTGGTTATTATCCAGTCTATTATTATGACCTTTGTGTTTGTCGTTTTTTATATATATATGCCAACTGGACTATTATCTAACCCATAAATTATTTCCCTCCTTACCATTTGATTAGTACGTAACCTCATTTGTTATTTATTCTCGAATTCATTTTTGTGATGCAATCTTTTCTATCCTCCTATAGACATATATCTTCCATATAACTATATATATACGAATGTACAGCTTAAGTAAATGATTTCGTCGAAAAGGAAATTTTCTTCGCTGAATTCCGTTTTTCTTATTCGACGATTAAAAGTTGAATAAAATTTCGAAATATCTACATTACCTAGTTAAATTAGTATATTGTTTTCATGAATATATCGGTTCATGTCAAATTATTTGTTTAGGAAGATTCAATCATATGGTTAATTCATTTTATAATTCTAAAATGTTTTGTAATAATACACCATACACTATAGTTATACATATAATAAGGAATTTAAGTAATTAGGAAAAAAAAATCAAGACATCAAGTCATACCACGACATCAGGTGATCTGCAATCAGTAAAGTGTCACACTTACTATTTTATAAGTAATTTGAGTAAATGTTATTAAATTTCAGACAATTTTCACAAGAATAATTTAGAATTTTATGCCTTAAAGTCAATCCAAGGAAACGTAAACTCTATCATCAATTCTATTCAGTAATGCATGTAAACATTTTCTACAGTAACATCACATTGCACTTTAGAAAAGAGGTCAGGATTCATTTGGATTAATTGAAGTTGTTCCAACTCTGAATGAAAGAATAGAAGAAAAAAGCCTAATCGTTCAACGTCAGTAGTAATAATAATGGTAATGTAACCAAGTGTAGTTTCGTATGCCTAACTTTGAGTTACAGTACATGCAAGATAACTGGTTATATTACTCGGTTCATTAGACCTAAGTACCTTCAATTACATTTTTCGGGCAATGGCATAAATGTTCAGGGAAGAATAACAATAATACAATAGTTGAAGATGTATTTTACAAAATTATGTTATCATTCTAATGAATACAAGTTAATGCATCGATCAGTTTTCTTTAACCTATCATGGTTCAACTATTTTGAATTACGATTATTAGAATTGCTTTATGGTTCAGAGAGGTAAATGAAACTTTCGACGCAAATAATGTTATAGATATGATGGAAGATTAAGAATAAATGAAACTAGACCACTAAAACCAGTTCTCAAATTGTATTAATTACCTTTTCCAACTCTATGATATTATAAGCACTATAGCTTTTGACCAAAAACTACCGAACCTTTCCTTGAAAGTTAAAATTTCTAATTTCATCTTTATATTGACTTTATTGACAACAAACTGTTTTAGTAGATAAACAGTCAATTGATAATAAGAGATATTACATAACATCAACTTATTATATATGCAACTAACTAAACACGTCAATTTGTACGTTCAATTTATTAGTTAACTCAGTTTTATCAGAATTAATTATTTTCCCAATGAGTGAATATTTGTAAATTTAAGAAGTATTGTAGTGAACAGAACACGGGTGGGGAAAATCGAATGTATTTAACACAAAATTACAGGACTTGTTAATAAAATCTAACAATCATAAAGTAAATGCTTAATTTCAAAATGTCCACCGATTGTCTCATAATGACTCAGACTTCATTGTTCTTGCATTTTCATACAAATCCCATTCTGTTTCCATTCTTTACTGTTCGATCCTCTTATCTCTCTGCTGCCAGACCTTCTGTTCACGACTAACACCATTTACTACTTATGTCAATATAAGTAGCACACATCACAGTATACTGGTTTATACTACGCGATATAATAGTTCACCTTTGGCATATTTAACAAAATGAAGAATAAGCGAATATTATAAGATTGACTTTTAATAGTTATATGTACTTTTCAGTATGTCTATTATAGATCATTCTAAACTTATTAAAAAATCTTTTAAAGAATGCAACGCCGGCTCAGTGGTCCAGAGGTTAAGTGTTCTTACGACAGATCAAAGGCCCAGGGTTCGAGTTTCGTGTGTGAGATCTTTGATGCATACTTCCGAGGTGTCTGTCAAATATGTACTATTTGTTTATAAAAGACTTAAAAATGTTTAATGTATTAGCCTAGTTGTAACGGTTAATATGTTATTTCTTACCTAGTGTACTGTTAAATATATAACTATAAATCAGACATGGAAAAGAAAAACTGTCATTGAGGTCTTAAGTTAAAACACATTGTATTTGTTTATAATCCATATTGAAATAAACCTAAACTGATGACAAATGTTTTTTAGCAATTTATATGGATTAGAGAGAAAGAAAATTGTTTTTATTTATATATCAATGAAGTTACAAAAGTGGTATTTGTGATCTATAGTTTCATTTTAAAACGAAGTTTAATGAAGTTAATAAATAGCCAATTAAATGATTTACTTCAATAAAGTTTTCTTTTCAAAGATTTATTCACAAAAAAAAGGAATAGGAATCTTTGAAAATAAACTGTCAACGTACCTTCTGGAACTTTTGGTTCTTCTTGTAAAGTCATTGTTTTGCAGCGTAAATTTTCTCCACTTCCGTCTATCCATACGTACATAACTTGAATTTTGTCATCAGGTTGAGGCAAATCATAATACTTAGCAAGTAGTGTTTTACTGTCGTAAGGTGAACGTGATGTTAACGGCATTATTAAACTGTATTAAGTCTTAGTATTTAGTTGATTAGAATAACAAACCAGGCCAATTTATATAGCTTTATATAGAAAAAAAATATGGACGGAAACTACGCAGTATATGATTGGTCGTAAATTGAGATTCAATTGATTCGGAAATTTCAAGGTCACATCGATAACTGGTTGAATTCAGGGTCGTTATTCAGTCATACATTTCATCACTGAAACAGGAAAGCGTTAGGCATGACTGCTTGCCTATTTATATGAACTTAAATGACATTACCTACAAAATAATTAAAACCATACTATTAATAAGATAAACAAATTTAAATCTTGAATATTTTAGATCGACCCATTATCACATCTTGAATGCTATTTAACTCTTAAAAGTTAGTGATTTTCACAAGATCATGGGTCGATTGAAGTTAGACACTAGCACCGTTGTATGCCGGCTCAGTGGTCCAGAGGTTAAGTGTTCTTACGACAGACCAAAGGCCCAGGGTTCGAGTTTCGTGTGTGAGATCTTTGATGCATACTTCCGAGGTGTCCCATACTAGGATGAAACATTCGTCCAGTGCTTCCATGTATTCAGTGGTGACCCAACTTAGATCGACTCATGAATTCAACTATTAAAATTTTCGGCATAACTCAATCATCTAATGTAGGTTCTTTCACCTTCTAAAATGGGAATATATCGGTCAGTATGAACCAATAGAATAAACCTCAGTCTTCGAACTATATTCACAGTCAGTGCGATCTTCGCCAAACTTTTCTGCCAAACACCCATCAAAATATATGGTGACCAAGGTGCATATTCGTATTAATTTGATATGAATGCAAGTAAAAATAATAGAGAATAGAATCAATTATAAAAATTACTCTTAAGCCTTCAAGTCCAGGGACAAATTTTCCACAATCGACAAATCCAGTATAAATTGATAGAATAACCGAAAATAGAATTCATTTAATGATTTCTACAGAGGAATAAACCACCGTAATCATAAAAGTTAAGTGCTTTGATATTCTTATGACATGAGCATTTTTATCTTGTCTGATACTACTTTAGCATAGACTACGAAGTCACCTATTGATCTTAATGTCATATGCTACTCCCATAAGTAAAACTTCTACTTATTCCACGGCAGCTCGTTAAATTTAGATGCACAATAAATATTTAAGATCCTATTCAATTTAACGCCTCTTAAGCTCTGTTAATTTTCGTCCTTTGGTTTTATTATTAAAGGTAAGTGTAACTGTCGAATCAAGAGCCTACTTTCTCCTTCTACTTGCTACCCCTAGATTTTCGTGTTAACTGAGTAGACTGTCATCTTTAAATCTACACTGTTTGAAATCAACTGAAAAATGATGAGAATATTAACTGCTAAAATAGACAAGAAGATAATCAGAAATACCATAGCATAAAATGAGATGTGTGGAATTAATAATAGGATACATAGTGAACATATTCAATTTACAGAAATCTGTCTGTATTATGTTGCATACGATCTGCAAAAATGAATCTTCACTGAAGATTGCTACTGCACCTAACAAGCCTTAAACTAAGCTTAAACAGATTCACATACCACTTTTCACTTCGAAAATCCGGAGGTTAATAATATATATATATATATATATATATATATATATATATATATATATATATATATATATCAGCAGCATCTACCGCACTGATAGATGCTCGAAAACCCATTCCATCTGGATCTGAACACTACGAAGAGCGGTGTCAGCTTAAGCGCAAGCTGACAAGAAGCCCACGCAATGATCGTGAACAGTTGTGGGTAGCGAAAGCAAGAGAGATGGAAAAGGCAGCGGCAATAGGTAATAGCAGAAAATTGTCCAGACTTATTAAGGAAACCGACTGTTAGCGAAACACTCAGAGAAAGATGGACATATTAAACATTCTCAATACAGGAGATTGGATCGATGGGCAGAACACTTTAGGGATCAGTTCAACTGGCCTTCAGCCACACTTCGGTTTCCCACGATCTCCAGTCAACCTGAATGGCAAGTTAATGTAGGTCCTCCGACTCTTTATGAAGTTGAAAAAGTATAATATTTGAAAGTACTTGAATTATCGTATGAACTAGGAATCCCAGAATTAACGCAATCGAATAAAAAAGTACTAGACAAGCACAAACGAACGTATTGTATTCAGAATTCAAAATCAAGTATTCAACAAGTACAAAGGTATCATTAGTTCATTCAAACACCACATCCGCCACCGCTTAAACTGGAATATAATTGTCTGTAATAGGTTGTACGTCTTCTTCTTAAGTTCATCCTGAGTCTGTCCGACATTGTATCTGATAAAAACCCGGTATTATCTAGAATGGGCTCATTAGTATTGGAATTAACAACCGAAATCGGAACAGACTCACCTGGAATTGTATACAATCAGCATGTCGCTTTTGTACTAAAATCATTAATATCTAGAATTCGAACCATAGATTTTTCAACACTATCCTCCCCCACGAAATAATGTTGGATCTTTATATCCCTAAGTTATGAATAATGTGGCTTCATTTAAAACATACTTTTCACATTGGTTAGAATAAGCATTATAAGCGACTTCGTGATAAAGATAAACAGAAGTTGATATGAAATCATCCGAATTGTAATCAGAATCGAGCTCATTTAGTACTTGTGCTTCGCACTGAACAAGTTTCCCACAAGAAACAACTGCATTATGAGGACAAATAATATTTGATGGAGCTTCAAGATTTGATTCTTCTGAAATAGTTTCCTCAAATTTATTATGAATGTCATTGCAGAGTAAAGGATCATTAGAAAAATTAGCATCCATCAAAACTACATCAGGTTTTCGATCATAATTATGTTCACTCAACATGTTTTCCTCAGATTTGTAAGGAATTTAATCAGAAATATGTAAATCATTAGGAAAAACCATATCTGGTACAATAACATGAGAAATCTGATAAGGTGATTGATTAGAAACTGTTGTCTCGCAAGAATTCTGAGTTTCATTTAACTCCGAACTGCTATATGACTCTACACTGTCTTTTAAAATCGTTGATAAAGATAAATGATTATTATGAATACTCGACTCAGTAGAATCAGAATTAAAAGACTTAATATTAGCTGCAATAAGATGAACATTGGTATTACAGACTGACTGAATATGTCCAATATCACCACATTTAAAGTACTTAGAATTACAAAATTTACATGAACTAAAAGAGTGGAACTTTTCACAGGACAAAGATTGACCAAATTTGTGACCATCTTCGTGAAATGCATTGCAACTCCTCAATGAATTATCTGCATAGCCTTGAGTATGCACTGGGTTGGGATGACGTAGTAATGTAGTGGAATTTTTTATATCCTCATGAATCACTTTACAAAATCTTTTATTGCGTTCGAAATTTGTATACTTAACATAGTCTAGCAGCAGTTCCTTGAGAGTTGTATAAGGAAGCGAGATAGGCTTTTCCGACATAGCCAGAGTTCTTAATAAGCTATATGCTTCTTTTCCTATGAATGTGAGGAAATGTGCCACAATATTAACATCCTCAGCATCTTCCTTGGTCACAGCCCAGATTTCGAACCTTTCAAAATAATCCTCAAAGGCACCAAAACCTGAATGTATATCCAACGATTCCATCACAGGATCCTGCTCGCGATGCCAGTATAATATCTGAAAGTATTTGAATTATCATATGAACTAGGAATCCCAGAATTAACACAATCGAATAAAAAAGTACTAGACAAGCACAAACGAATGTACTGTATTTCGAATTCGAAATCAAGCATCCAACAAGTACAAAAGAATCATTAGTTAATTTAAACACCACAAAAAGCTATAGGAAATCTCAAGCGAGGGAGAGCAGCAGGCCCTGACAGGTTTACTCCTGAGATTTTTAAAGATGGTGGTCCAGTATTAGCAGTGAGATTAACTGAGGTCTTAGGTAGAATTTGGGAACTGGACGCAATCCCATTTGACTGGTCTCAATCACTGATTGTGCCAGTCTATAAGAAAGGACAAAAGTCCTCTTGTGACAATCAAAGAGGAATCAGTTTGACTAATATAGTGTCTAAAATATTAGCTTCAATAATACTTCGACGCCTAACCAAACCTCGTGAAGAGCAGACTAGAGAAAACCAGGTTTCCGACTTGGACGTGGTTGTATAGATCAGATATTCACACTACGTCAGGTTCTAGAACACAGACACATTCAGACGCCCCACAATAGTAGTATTTCTCGACCTTAAGGTGGCATTCGACTCTGTTGATCGTGAGGTTCTATGACTGTCAAAATATTCATTCAAATGTATTAATATGGTTAGGGGGCTCTATTTTATTGGTAAAAATTTTACAATGATGAAATACGGAGTTGTTGTCTATAAGAAGATGGATTACAGAATAGAAACAAAAACTATAATTGTACATTTTCATCTGAAAGAATTTGGTAGTCGCACATGCCTTACTATATTATTTATTCTGCCATTCATCGATACCATTTACTGAATATCATGAGCAAGATATGATGTACGCAATTGGAATTACAGAACTGTTAAGCTTAAAGATATAGATAGAATAGCAATTCATTTCAACACTGCATCCTTTTATCACTTTCGTTAGTGAATAGGTGATGTAAGGGATTTAGCATTTTACATCACGTTTAAAATTATCTTTTGGAATGGTAAACTAATGAAGGGAAATTTTTGTCTACGATGAGCTCGCGGTATAAGAACATCCCTAAGTAATGTGATAATTAGCAGTTGCTATTTCATAGTAAGTATATTAGATTCATTTTTGTCATGATAAGAAACCGATTGTTTATGGTGTTTGTATGAGCTGATGATTCTTTTGTACTTGATATTTGCCTGATTTTGAATTCCAGATACAATACATTCGTTTGTGCTCACCTAGTTCTGTTTGGTCTAAATTGCGTTGTTTCGGGGATTTCTTGTTCGTATAATAATTCAAATACTTCTACTAATCACATGGTTGTAAATATTTATATAAGTTTTGAGTAAAGTTGTATTTTCAAGAGATAATAGTAACTGATGATTACTAAGAGATTAAAGTAGTTTTATAGTAATGGAAACATT